TTAAAAGCTAATTTTTTAACATTACTTTTTTTATTTATATTATAACTTTACTTTTATATAAAAATAGTTATTATATCTACTAACTTAAGCTTTATTATATAATAAAGTAAAGTAAATAAAATAAATTTATTTCCAGGTTTTTAAAGTTTAATATTCTATTTTTTATACTATACTCTTTAACTATTTTAAATATAATTACTTCTATTAAGAAATTAAATAGTAAGTATTATTATATTTCTATTAATATATAAGCTTAACTTAATATAATAATATTAAGTTACTATTATATAATTATAGAATATTATACTAAAATAAAATAGGTAATATAGAGTTTATTATTAAACTTACTAAAAATTAATATAAATAAAATAAACTTTAGTAAGTAAGATATTCTAGTATTTATTCTATATATACTTATTTTTTTAAATCCAGCTAGATATAGAAAGATTATATAATAGGTATTACTTAATAAAAAAGTATATTAAATATACTATTTATAAATTAAAAAAGGTTTTAAATACTAGCTTCTAACTTTTAAAAGTAGCTTATAAAAACTAATTATTTTACTATTAATATAGTTATTATCTATAATATTAAAGAGATTTTTAATAAATAGGTTTTTAAATTTATTAATAAAAATAACTTTAGTAATTTTATAAACTATTAGAAGCTGTAATTTAAATACTATTTAGTATAATAGAATATAAATATATTACTTTTTACTCTCTTAAGCCTATATAATTCTCTACTAGCTTTAGTTATATAATTAGTCTAGCTTAGCTAGAGTTTCCTTAATAGTATACTAAAGCTATTTCTTAAATATTTCTTTTTTTAAAGATTCTTTTTATATCTTTAGCTAGAGAAATTAACTTTTATATTAATTAGTTATTACTTTAAAAGGGGTTAATTAAATATTATTACTTTTATTAGGTAGTTTTCTATTAATAATATCTTTAAAATAAATAGCTATATTAAATTATATATTATTAGGTATAATCTTATATTTAATAAAGCTTTTAAGTATATTATCTATATAAGTATATTAAATCTCTAACTTAATATAACTAACTATAAAAATATAAGTATTTATTCTCATAACTATATTTATAATAATATAGAGAAATTTAATAATTAATATATTACTATTATTTAAATAAGTATATTTATTAAAACTATTAATAATAAATATATAGCTAGAAATAATATAAAAAAGCTATATAAAAAATATAATAGTATTTATATAAGTTATAATAAAATCTAAATTAACTTTCTATTTTTAATAAATATACTTAAACCCACTTTTATATTATAATATAACTTAGAAAACCTATAATTATATAGCTATAAAAGAGTCTTTATAGCTCTTAAAATTAGATAAAAAGAAGAAATAGATAATAGATATCTTAAAGGTAGACGGGAAGTATTTAACAATATGCATATAGAGAATCATCTTGCCGAACCCTGCAGGTCTATTAATCTATAGCAGCTTTACGCCTGCGGGGAATTCTTATTCGAGATAGTTCTAGAATGCGGGCTGGTAGAAGATCCAGTTGCAGGTGCCGACGAGTCTTTTCTGGACGGAGTTATGGTAGCGTTCGTTTGGGGACCTACGGCCAAGCCAGGAGTGGAGTGCCCGTCGCGTCTCGGCTTCGCTCCGTTAGCTTGACACTAGAAGCTCGGTATTACGGCCTGGTCCTCCGGAATAGCAATAGCTCTTAAGAGCAGTTAGTGTGCCCAGTAATTGCCGCAATAGCGATTATTAACCAATCTTTTGCCCTATGGTACAGCAGTCTAGCACAGCAGTTATACTCGGGGATGACATCTTACTTCTGTTCACCTCTTCGATCCGGGCGAGGATCCGCTTTAGCTCAGCGGGCCAAGCATAGTCTGAGGAAGTTCCTGATCACCGTTAGATAATAAGCATCGAGGCAGCGTTCAGATACACACCTAACCCGGACGCGAGCTTGCCGGTGCGCCTGGTGTCCAGCTCGTATACCGGCCACGTATTATATGCACTGCATCGACGGGCACCAAGTTATGCAGTTATTGTACTAGCTTTTCGAACAGCTCGACCTAATCTGTACGCTCTATCTTACCCCAGAGCAACTAAGCCAGCTTCCGTCGCCTCGTGCCGTGAGGCCGGGGTCGGAGCAAGCCCAACGAGATGTCATCACTTGGCGTCATTACCCGGCTGGTGTGGTGTACAGACGCATCACTCGCATCACAGAGAGTAGTAATAATCTGGAAAATATCCTATACCGCCGCAGATATATTGCAGTCGTCGAGAGCAGGGTGATAGTCTTCCGACAGGGCCTTCTCGTTGAACCCTCCACGTCGACCCCATTCCTCGAGGCGAACCTTAATAGCCTTAACCCGGTGTCTGGTACGTGCGAGTCGGACCCGAATAATCGGTAGGTCTGCACCTTGCTCAGTGCCTCTAGGCAGGAGCTGAAAAGGCCCGCAAGCCCAATGACCCCGACGGTGAAGCTAACAGGCTCCATGGCAGTATAGTAGATGTGATAGGTGCGATGGGTTTGAGCTGAGGTGGAAGGCGGCTTCGCAAAATATCCCCGCTCAGCACTGCCACTTATCGTGCGCGAGGCTGTTTGGTCTGCATGCAGAGCGTAGGACCACCCACCTTCTCCATTCGCACATGAACAGCCTTCCGTCCGGTCGTCCTTCCCTATTTAATCATATCCTCTCTATGACCTCGCCGCGACCACTCAAGCAATACTCTAAACGTGAATCATAGAATAGTCGGTCTTATGCAGGAACCCGACTCTTAACCCCCACGTGGCGGGAGAGGGAGACGACTTTATTGCTGCATGTGGGGGCAAGCGAACACTCGTTGCACGTACCTGCTGATGAAGTCGACCATATGCAGAGTGTGGAAGATGGAGTGGATGATATCGCGGCTAATGCTGCTATGTCGGGTGGGGGTCATAGTCTTCAACGGCGAAGCTGAAACGGAGTCTGAAAATGCGGTATCAAAATTAGCAGGCCTTGACCTTGCGCGCAATTACGGCGGCCAGGGGAGCCGGAGGAGCTCTTTCCTAGGAGACTGTAGGACGCGGGCGTCTAAAAGTTCTCTGCTGCACTAAATGTTGATGGTGCAGCACCCTATCACCAGACGGTCCCTGCTGGAGTGATTTCTTTCATGTCTTGTTTATAAGTTAAGTTAACTAATTAGCTAACGTATGTGATAAGCGAGTGTCCCAAATAAGCGAGTATCTCACTTATACTGTACAGCTAAAAGTTGAAATTTTCGGTTTCCTAAAACTAGCTATATAATTCTAGAAATTTTGAAAATTTAATTATAGATATTTAAATAAAAAGGTCATTTGATAGCATTTTTTCCGGTTTTTTAAAGAATATTTTTAGCTTTTTAAAACTAAAAGTAAGAAAAAAAACAGTGTGAATGTGAAGGGCTGGCCCTGGGTTTGTTCAACGAAAGGGTGCGGTAGATTGGTCTATCTAAGACTAAGGAGCAGGAAGGAGAGAAGAGGCTAGCTCTAGGGAAGTCATAGCTATAGAGCAGAGCTCTCGCTTGCAGAGCGGTAGTAGCTGGCAGAAGGGAGGTCAATCTCGCCTAGCTCGGTCGGCCTTGGCCGGCCGGGAGCGGCACGGCGTAGCCCGTGCCCCCCATACCGGGCCTCAGCCCGTGACAATCATACACGCCTTGGACCTACCCTAGACCCCCTAGTGTAAGTTCGACCGTCACACTGTAGCTGCGCGATCATGCCTGCAAACCAGTGTTTAATATCCGTAAAAGACTTAAGGGCGCCCATTGCCTCCATCCCATCGCGTATTTAACAGATTGCATCAATGAATCGCATCTCCTGAACTTTAAATCCAGGGGCAGCTGAAGGAGGAACCAGGGAACAAAGAGCCATTCATCCTGCGTGCCCATCGGCCCTGGTCGCAAACCTAAGCGCCGCAGCTTCACTGCCGCTGTCTTGGCGCCGTCTTGCAATGCCAAAAGTCGGTCATTTAGGGCGTCTTGTCATGCAGAATCTTGTTTTTAGCATCATCTGTCCGGAAAATTCCGCATGAATGAACACCTATCACAGGAGTATTAGGCGCTTTCCTTCCAGCGAGGGTGGCGCCCACCCTCAAGGAACGAACTCGACAAGGATTAGCTGCCAGGGATGGGAAATGACAACTCCCCTTGCGGCCAAACTTACACACCAAACATGTGGTTTGAACGGGGCCCTGTAGGATTGATGTCCCGTTCCTCTTTTGACTCAGCACAAGGAACAAGTTGCCTGGTTGTTGCATGAACCTGGCTTGACGTTTCTCGACTCATCATTTCACGGTTTGGTCTCGACCTGCAGCGGCAATTAAGAATCACCCAGGGATCTCTATCTAGCCCGGCTCGCTACCGTTAGCTCCATCAGCCCTGTGCGTGCTGTGGGCGTACCGATTGGCACCAAGCATCTATCTGAGTCGTTGCTCGAGGCGCGAACCGTGCGAGGCCAGCTTCTCTGAAGCCGCCACGATTACCGGTTCTCCAACGGATTCAGCCTTGGCTCGCCGAATAGCCGAGCAGATCCCCTGATTTCTGGTTCCATGCAGATAAAGGAAACATGACTGCGCTAGGCAGTACTCCAGAACCATCCAGACAGCTTCTGTGCGGCCTCTCAACGGCACCCTTCATTTGTGGACGGCAAGCCACGACTTGGTGACCGAGTCAGCGACTACGTCCACCTCGAACCAACCACCCAATAAACGTCGCCCAGTCTCCTCGGTTAGCAACATTGACATGATCAATAGAAAGTAGCTTGGGCACCTCCCCCCACCTCCCCCCCCCCCAAACCCTCGCATCCGGACACTGGGGTACCGGGGCCATCCCCTCCCAACCCGGTCCAGTCATTCAAATGCAGATCTCCCGCCGGTCCCATTCCACTGGTCACCCCAAGGCTCATTTTCCTCCGCCACTACGATCAACCCATGATCACTGCCAACCGCAACCCGACTGCGGCCAGCTTCATGTCTCGACCATGGCTGGGCTCCAAACCAACCTCTATGTCGGCATCGGCATCACCTGGATCGCCGCCTTGGTGGCCCTGATCATGAGGGTTTTTGCCCGGCGGATGACCAAGGTTAGCTGGTGGTTTGATGATTACTTCTGCGTATCTGCATTCGTGAGTCTGCACCTTTTGCTCTCCTGCTTGGTGAGACAAGCTGCTAACGGGAAGCCGGCGTAGATATTTGCGACTGGCTACTGCGGCATCTTGCTGGAATGTAATGAGCGACCTCCCCCGAGTCTCAAGACCGAGTCCATAATAACTGCTTTGCAGGGACCCTCCACTGGTCGCTTGGCAAACTGATGCCTGATGACCTTGATATGAAGACTAGGGAGAATATCCTCTACCACTCGAGGATTCTCGGTTTCTTTAACTCGCTCTGCTACGCCTCCTCGCTAGCATCGTCAAAGATATCCATCCTATCATTCTACTGGCGACTGTTCAAGACATCGACTATCCGGATTCCCATTCTGGTGCTCCTTGCCATGTCGGTGATGTGGATCATCTTCCGGACTTTCATGTTGATCTTCCGCTGCGTTCCCGTCCAGTCAATTTGGGATAAGACAATCACAGGTTCTGTTTGCAACATCGACGGCGGCAAGTTCTTCCTGGGCACCATCACCACCCATTTTATAATGGATATCATCATCCTCATTCTTCCTATTGTTGAAGTATCCAGGCTTCGCCTACGCCTCGGCCAGAAGCTCGGTATCATCGCCCTCTTCATCCTCGGCATCATGTAAGGGTTAGCATTCCTTCTGATATGTAACAGATGCTAATGGCAACAATCCAGTGTCTGCCTCGCATCTGCGTTTGTTCTGGTCGAGTTGGTCAATTACAACAACGATACAACGCAGATGCCATATGACTACGCCATGTACTGCATCCTTGGAGCTGTGGAGGTGAATATCGCCATCGTCTCTGGTAAGAACCCCAAGAATTACTACATACCAAGCCAGTTCCATTCACTCACCTATCCCTTTAGCCTGTTTCCCCCTGCTTCGGCCAATCTTCCGACACATCCTTCCCACACAGTTCCTCAGCTCCTACGGCAGCAGCCAACGCATCAGCCGACCAAGCAACATCAGCCGACCCAGCAACATCATCAGATTGACCACATTGAATCGAACGAACAAGGAGGTCGAGGCTGACGAGTCGAGCTCGACGCATCAGCTGGCGGACCCGGAGCACGGCATGCCTGACGGGCATGACTTTGACCTGGCGCCTGCACGCAGCTCGGGAGGCGTCCGCACGATGATTTCGAGCCGGGAGTATGGCTCCGAAAGGTCCAGCCGGGATGGAGATCGTGGGATATATGTGCGAAAAGACACGGCTGTCGAGGTGGAGGAGATACTGGATTCAAAAGGTCGGAGATATGGAAGCGGCAGACGGTCGTGATGGCGGGCGATTGAGCGAGGATCGGACAAGATAGTCGAGCTGCTGCTCGCCATCGGGACATCTAGCGCGCTTCGTCATGGCGTGAGTCTCGGAGAACAAAGTGCAAGGCTCGATCCCTGAGGCGGTCGTTCGAGGTATCCTCGAATACATCTAATTCCTCAAATACATCCAGCTTAAACCGGTTGAATGGGTCTCCGGTATGCCTTGAAGGGAGCGATGGTGCTGGTGAGGTCGCGCCTCTCGCGCTGCCCGTCGCTGGATGGCATTGTGCTCGTGTCCAAGGTACGGGAGAGAGAATTAGCCACCGCAGGCTGGAAATATCTTGACGAGGACAAGACGGGTCTCTAGAGGAAAATGTATAACGCGTGCTATCATAATGCTAACCAGAGGCCGTACCATAAGCGCAGCGTTGCAATTAGGTTAGGCCTCGGCAACGTATATTGTGTCAGACGAACAGGTCTAAAAGGTGAGATAGGGCTATGATTTAGGTTTCCGGACTGTGGATCCTGCCAACCTAGGTTCAAACTCAACCACCTAGATCCCCGACTTCCAAAGGAGTCGTCCGCCGAGATCCCTGGCGTCTAACGGAGTCAACGGACCAAGGGCCTCTAGATCAGACCGATCCCTAGGGACAAATAGCTAGCTTTCTCCCGACTATATAGAAGGAAAATGACAAGAGATTCCATCGTCCCCAAAGCTGTATCGTCTAATCCATCCTGTCTGATATATTGCAACTGGGGCCCGATGACGCAGGCAGAGCTGTTTAAGGACTTAGATAAGCATATGCAGGATAGGTTACGGGGCATCAAGCTATCGGAGAGTGACGTCAAGCTGCCAGAGAGCGACATTAAGCTGTCAGAGAGTGATATTAAGCAGTATATTAACATAGCTCATCTTAATATAACAGTTATGTCCTGAGCCTAGCTTATACGAGGTGTAGAGTAGCCGCCTTTCTGTCCTGGGCCGTGACAATTAACTATTAAACTTATAAAATCCAAGTTAATATCCTTCTTAAATAGTAACTTAATTACTACTTTATATCTATTCTCTGCTACATATAATAGCGACATCTGTCTGTTATTAAATATCAAATTTAGGAAGTCCAGATCTACTCTATCCTTAGTAAGTAGCAGCTTAGCCACCGCCTCATGCCCGTTCCTTATCACATACTATAATGGCGTCAGTCCTTGGTCATCATTAGAGTCCAGGTCGATTCCCTCCTGCTCGAGCAGTAGCTTAACGACCGCTTCGTGTCCGTCCTCTACCGCATACGACAACGATGTCCATCCATCGATGAGGCGCCGCGTGGGCCCCACGTTTATATCGACTCCCTTTGTCGCGAGCAACAGCTTGGCCACCGCTTCAAGCCCGCTCTCTGCCGCATACGACAGCGGCGTCCGTCCCCAATGATCCCAAGAATCCGGGTCGACGCCATCCTTCGCAAGGAGCAGCTTGGCTACCGCCTTGTGCCCGTTTTTGCGGCCAACAATAGGGGTGACTCCCAGTAGCGGGTCTTCTTTTGAATATCAGCACCTTCTTGTAGTAGGTTTTGGGCTGTCACGCCTTGTCCATGTTCTGCGGCCCATAGTAACGCCGAGCTTCCAAACAACTGTATGTTGTGCCAATACAGGTAGGGGTTTAGGAGACTGTGAAGGGGGCGATTTGTTCGAGCAAAAGCGTTCATATCTCTCCCTAACTCCAGATTCTGAGTTATATATAGTAGCAATTTGTTTGCCAAATCAAGCATTGACATTACTTAAATATTAGCTTAACCTGAAAGTATTGCCAGAAGATGGCGAAAATTAGGTGACAATAAAGCTTACTGATGGAGTGACAGTTTACTTAAAGTATCAACGTATCCGTCAGCTGGATCTGAATTTGGCACAGATAACCTCCGTGATGAAGATTGACTAAGGCAGTGGTTTTCTAGTTAACAAGTGTTAATGTGGGATAAGCGTGTTTACGGTTCCGATGCTAAGATAAAAGAATCATCTTTGTTTTTTTTGTTTTTTTTCGACGGGGGGAAGGTGAATATTAGTCTAACTTTAGTTGAACATGGCCACAAACGTGGCCTTCTGCGATTGGCGGATACCTGCAACCTCCACCCATGCATTGTCCATGCTTCTCAGAATAGCAGGGGTATGCTTCATCCCTTCAGCTGGCATAAACCTCCCCGACGGTCACGACAGGGGGATCACTCCAATCGGGACTCTCGTTAGTGACGATACTTCATGCTATCCTATCTTCCGGCTGAGGAGTAAGTAGACCAGTCATAAGGCTATAACAGTCACCTTCCCTGAACCCCATGTGGTAGGCGCTAGCTGTTAAGAGGAATAACATCGGGGCGGATACGGAGCGGAGGTTTATGCCAGCTAAAGGGATAATTTGCTCGTCAGACTGTGACAGTAAACTTTCTTCCGCAGACGCTGTTGTATTCTGATTGTCGTCCTGACCATTCGTCTTCTCGTTCCCTGGCCTCATTGAGCCTATCCATGAGTTTACTCACTTGTTGAGCCCCTTTATCTACCCCATCGGATAATGCTATCTTCTCCCCACCGAACTTCCTCGAATGTTCTATTACCGCCAGGCGTTCCCTCATCTGATCTAAGGCAGCCATCTCTTCATCCCTCTGCTGACCCAATCGTTTCGTCTCTAGACGGACTTGGTCTCACAAATTCCTCACAAACTCAAGCTTCAGGTTTACCTGGTCGAGCTCCATGTCCGCATCTCCGGTGGCCTCCAGTAAGCTGGATCCTCCCACTAGCCGGACAACGAACACTGATCCTTGCGCAACCGCCTCTTCTTGCACAGTCACCTTTATGTTGAGATTTCCATTGCGGGCAGCCTGCTTCCCCAAGGCTTCCGGCCTCATGTAAATGAGTTTCTGTGACAAATCCTTTAGAGCGGTGCCACCGGGCGACGTCACGACGTGGCAGCGAGCTTGTTGCTGCAATCCGTGCAGCTCAAACTCGAAAAAAGCTATGACGTCTCACCATCCTTCACCTTGGGCGCGGAATCGAGCCAAGTATCATCGCGTTATATGTCCGTCCGACTCGTCTGCCTCCGCAACCACGGTGCGCCCGTTCTCCTAGATAGTGTCGATCAAGACGAGTTCGTAAAGGTGATACCATCTTTCCCGCGCTACTAAACGACCTTTCAGTCTCTGCTGACATTGTAGGGATAGACAGCAAGTCAGAGGCCATTCGAGAGAGGTTCGGATATTCCGTTTCGTGCTCCATGGCAGGATTCAATTTGGCTAATGATGTTGCCATGTTTTGCTTGCCCTTGCCTATGATACGATCACTTCAGCTGCCCCAAAAACAGAAGATTATGCTCTTCGTAATCTTTTGTCTCGGATTCCTGTAAGCACTCCCGCCTTTAGCCTCAAATCGTTTGACTGGTACTAACTCAACTCAAACTAGTACCTGCATTATCTCCATCATTCGTATCGCATTGTGCACCCAACACCCGGTTTATCTACCAGTTTCTGCCCCTGTGCCTCCGTTTTTGTCTTTAGATCTTTGATGACCCAGTCCCGATGACCGTGGCCGGAAAGCAAAATGTTCAACGAAGACGTCAAGAGCAAAATCAGCATGACCTGCTTTAGAATAGCCATGGGACAAGGTGACTCTTCAACTGGGTGGTAAAACACTTCTGCTCACAGCTACCTACCCTACGTCAACATCCACAAAGGCGGCGGATGCATTGGCTTCGCCATTGCTATCGCCACTGAGGATGTTGGACAAAAAAAAAGGACATTGGAAATTGAAACCAGAGGACGCATTGTATTACCACATTACAGTTCATAGGACAGAAATATTAAAAAAAAAATGACATGCTCAAAAATGCCATTCCCCCGTCCAATTACGTATTGACAACTGGGCGTCGAACCATGCCAATATTCCAATACAAAGCGTGGCCTTTCGAATAGGGAATAGTCTACGGATTAATCACCCGTGTTGACAGGATATCGTGTTTGTGCCTGAGGCAGAAAATTGTACATTTAACCGAAGCGTTGCATCCTGGAGCACGTGCGTGGAGAATCATCCATCCTTCATTTGTTATACCTTGATTTACGCGCCCTGGGATGACCCCATAACTTAACGTATCAACAATGCTACGAAAACATGAAGTGCTCAGGGTGGTAACGCCCATCCCCGGCTTCATCCCGCGCCAGTTCGCCATCAATGTCCTCCACTCGCACGGGGAGGTCATCACCATTAATCCGCATGTCGTCGATCACAAGCCCATCAAGGCGCCAGCCGACGCCCCTGTTGATGAATGCGACAGCAGCTGGTACGAGATTGTCGAGCGCAAACAACTCATCGCAGGCAAAGGAAAGCCTGGCTCTGGCATGATTACCTTCAACGGCATCTCTCGCGATGTTTCCTCCAAGGGTTGCTTCCACAACATGCCCTGGGGCTTGCAGACTCACATCAGAGCCCCAATGAACGTCGAGTTATGGATTAGATATTCCATCGACGGCAACCAACTGGGAATAGAGCCTGCGCAACGCCTTGAGCTTGGCCTCGAGTCTCTGGGTGCACCCACAGATGGCTTATACCTGCGCCAAGACATTGAGGTTACTTGCAACATTGCCATACTCAAGTATGTCAAGACGCCGCTGAGGGCAGAGGGCCAAGCTCTGGTGGATCGAATCATTAAAAAGGCAGAGCAGGCTGATGCCGCTGTTCTGCACAGGATGATGGAGGACAGCAAGTTCCATATGTCGGAGTCGAAAGGCAGATCTAGTATGCCGGCAGAACTCCAAGATGATGGAATCTCAGAGTTTCCTCCAATAGAGCTGGCAGCAGAATCAACTCCGACATTGCCCCATGGTGTCGCCTCCCAGCCTTACTATTCGCCCAGCCATAGTCCGCAAATCGACAAGGCAACCTTCGGCCAATTCAATTTGACTGGGAAGAACGCACCCTAACATCATCCCACCCGTCAGGCATATGGCATCCCATCGCGTCCTGGGGGACCAAAGTCAAACGCATCCACAAGGGAGCCTTACCGTCTCCGAACAACCCAGGAGTCGCCGCAGACGCGCGCGACTTGTGGCCGCTTCCAGACACTCTACGACGCAAAGGGACAAAACCTCTTAGAATTTAAGCTAAAGTGAGATATATAGAGCAAGAAAAATCTAGCTAAATGCACATAGTCCCGGATTTTTGCTATCTTGTAGAGAGCGCCGGAAAGCAAGTTCGTGCGGAAGCTGGTGATCGTCGCGGTATCTGCCAGCCTAGTAGCCATTTCCAATTTCTTACCTGGGCCTGAATAAAGAGATCATGAAGCTGTGAACTTCGGTGAAGTGCAACTCCCATATTGTGAAGTTTCCCTATTGGGCCATTTTTCCTGAAGTCTTGTAGTCCGGGGGCAGTAGCGCTAAATAGGACAGAGTAGTTCGCCTCGATGGGCTCGAAAGGATTAATAACAACAGGCTCGTTGCCAACCTTATTGCTTTTATTACTTCTACTGCTTCTATAGTCTTTATTATTATTGTCATCTTTATCCTCGTCCGTGGTTGTATGTTGATCTATGGATTGCAAGGCGCGACGAATAGCAACCCCCTTGTCCTCGTTGCTGATGTTATTGCTGATTTCCTTAGGGGTAGTTGTAATTATTTCTATATTAATCTTATTACTGTATAGTATAGTATATATTATCTAATAAAAAATATATAGAGTATATTTTAGGTATTATTTCTTATTATTAAAATTAAATTTTTTTATAAGAAACTCTATAGTTATATTATTATTTAAAATATTATTAAGAGTAAAATAGCTAATTTACTTTTTAATTTTTTAAAATAATAGAATATTAGCTATCTTATTAGCTAGGTTATTATTATAATATCTTAATAATAATAGATTTAGTAATAAAAATAACTTTTAGTATTTTTAATTATAATTAATAAAGTTTATATTAATATTAAAAAATAAGAAATTCTTATATAAAGTTTAATTATTAGATTTATAAATATTAAGATGCTTTTTAATATTTCTACTTTTAGAGGTAATAAAATAGAAATTTAATAGAATTATCTTTTTTTTTCTAAATATAATAGAAGTAAAATTAAAATACCTCTAAATTAATTTTTTTTATTTTTAAATTATAAATTTTAAAATTATAATTTTACTACTAGCTCTAATTCTTCTTACTATATAATTTATAAATATAATATAAAAAAAAGCTTCTAATTAATTTAATTTTAATTATTAAAAAAAAATCTATTTAATCTACTAGTTTTACTTTCTAATAAGAAAACAATATTAAACTTAAGTTATAGTTAGAGATTAAATATAATACAAATTAAATCTTAATAGAATTAAAAATATTAAAATAAGTAAATAAAAGTATAGCTCAAGAGGCTATTAAGAGATCTATTAAGAAAGTAGAAGCTAGAGAATCTAGTAAAGAGATTTATAGAGCTAATAAAATATTAAATTAGTTATAGGTATTTTACCCCCTAGTTCCCAATCAGTCCGATTTAACTTAATCGACTGAAAGCTTAATCGAATTGGGATCGCGGAAAATCGAATCGAATTGCGATTGAATCGACTCTCAATCACCGATCTCAGTCGCCGACTGCCTCGACCAGTTGACCTGCGGACCACCCTGACCCAGCCTGCCCAGTTGTTATCCAAGTCTGAGATTAGTCACCTGGATACTTCGACAAGAAACCTTGGGCTATAATCCTTCTCACAGTCAAATTCGTGCCACGGTGACTGCCGTCTTACGACAGCCAGGCCAGGAAAGGTCTGTCGGTGTGCATTGGATAGCCAAATTCATGAAACGTAATCCGATCATCAAAACGAAGATAGGGAAACGCCAGGAGGCCTCAAGGTTCAATTCCTTTACTCCAATGCCCGTCAATTGGTACTTTGATATCCGAGAGAGGGAGTATGGTTAGATCAAGCCTAAGAACACAGTTAATGTTGACGAGGGCGATATCATGGCTGTGCGGGGCGGAACTGGATTGGCGGTGGCTTGGTAGCTTGAAGGATAGGAGGCTTAGAAGATGGAGGCCTAGAGGGACCGGCTGATTGAGACTGACCACTAGCCAGAGTAACGCGGTTTGTTATCTGAGGTCCATGTTCGCCATCTTATTGGACAGCCCAATAACAGGGAAGTGGTGTCATTGTTCAGGGTAAGTGCTATTATTAATATTTGGATTTTATATTTTAGCAATCTGCCATCCCGTGTGTACTGTTCATCACTGTGCTTCCATTCCTTTGCTCTTGTTAATGCCTATTAACGTTTTGCTTGAAGTCTGGGATCGGTAGACAATTTGCCGGACCCGGCCCAATCTCATTCAACCAAGCATAAGAAACCATAGGCGACGCAGTCGACACATGTTCACCCACTTCGCCTCCAAACTTGGCGCCTTGCCCGATCTCCATCTGTCCCCGACGAAGAACGCTATCACGTCTCTCGCTTCGCCAGCATCCCCGGCTGCTATCATCTCGTTGTCCGCCACAACTTTATGGACGAGGTCGTCAGCCCGGACTTGGGTGTGCTGATTTGCGAGCAGGTGCGCAAGTTCGTCGGCCAGATGACCAGTCATCCTATAACATGTGAGTCTCTCGGACCAGAGCTTGTCGGGACAGGAACACTAATATCTTGCAGCTACCTCTATGGCGGCGCTGGCAAGGCGAAGGGAAACGCGGGATTCGACGACATCTACGTCCTAACAATTCCTACCTTTACATGGATTCCGATATACCCTACGGATTCCAACAAGATGGGCGACTTCCCACATCATAGCTTAAGCTGCAATATCGTCAACAAGGCCCAGATACTCATCCGCGGTGGTTTCTTCTTATTGAACAACGACTGTGACTCCCCAGAGCAGTAGGGTCTGCACAACCTCGACATAGGCAAGAAGACCAGCTATAACTCACCTTAGGCCTTATATAATCCTTCCAAGACGCACTACGTTGTTCCGATAGATACTATCTCGGTCGTTGGCGGCTCGGCAGATGGTGGGGCGAACAAGACGGCCCCGACGCACGGCTTCGACCACCAGGATCTCCGAGCCCTAATGACGCGTAAGGCATCGGCCGCTTCGAGGAAACCGACACGGGCCATTCCTGGGGAGGATCCTGGTCCCAAGCAAGGGTTGTCAATCGGAGCCATCGCCGGCATCGCCGTGGGCAGTCTCGTTAGTCTCAATGCTGTACTTGTTGGCGCCTTCTATCTCATCCGACGACATCGACGACGGAAGATGGCCCATGGATCCCATCGGCCCATAACCCAGTCTTACTCCCACCATCACCCACCACAATCCTCCAATAGTTCGCATCAGTACTCTCGAAGTCCAGCACCTTTCCAGTCCCGACCTCAGGCTGTTCCGCGTCATGCAGGCCCGCCAGTCGAACTTCCTTCGGGCTGAACTGACGAGATCCTACAACACATGCCATTGTACTTGGAGACCGGATCGCATATTGAGCCTAACTATGACATGACAGTCAGGGCAATATGTAGATTGAGGTCAGCATGCTGCAGGTACCAAGCCAGGATAGTCACCAGGTGGTGGAAGCCTTATATACGATGCAAAATATCGTCCTCTGCGGTCCGGCGCTCCAGAGTGGCACGCCGGAGTGCGTTCGCCTTGTCAAGCTGAGTTTCGAAGACCTCATCGCCGACTTGTAGTGGAGGCGGCTGGAAGGTCCCCGGTGATCTCAGCCATCGGACGGCCTTGAGTACAGAGCGGCTGTCTGAAAAACTGTCGATGAGATTCCGCCAAAAGAGCCGTTTGGCTCGACGGACTACGCTACGGAACTCCCGCTTGGCAAGCTGGACCTCCTTGCCGAACCCGAGCGGGTAGAGTCTTCTGATGGCTCGGTACTCAGCCGCGGCGCCAGCACACTCCTCGGTCCACCATGGAGCGCTGCGTCCTCCTTTCCGTGTCGGTCGGCCGGCCGGCTGCTTTTATAGCTAATTGTAGAAGATGAACAAGCGCAAATGCAAGCTCATCCAGTTCCAAGGTAGTTAAGACGGCAGTAGGGATTCCTATCGATCCGAGCTCTACAATCTCTATAAAGCGTTTCAGCTCGTCTTCAGTTGTCAGTCGGTCCTTACCCGGTTGTATGGGTACTGGCTTTATATGCGGGAGTGTGAGATTAAGCGTGAAGTGGTCGGAGCTGGTGGCTAAATAGTCCTCGACTGTGGCTTCGGCTAGTGGAATATTTGCAAAGGCGAGGTCTATCGTGTTCCCATGGGGATTTGTGGCGATATCTGGTGTATTCAGCAAGAAGAGGTCGTTTTCCGAGGCCCAGGATGCGTTGTCTCCGCTGCGGTTCGTAGTCTGTCCCGTCTGCCAGGTGCGGTGTCTGGCATTAAAATCACCTGGGGCTTTCCAAGTAGTGGAAGAATTCCACGGTCATATCCTTTAATATAGTATCTGGCGCGATATCTGGGTGCCGGACGCTATAGTTACAAATCGACTGCTATGGAATTTATATATTATCCTCTGGTAGCGAAAAGTACAGCGCCTAAAACTGAATCTTGAAGAATATTAGTTTTTCTTAGTACTAAGACTTCTTGTAATTATAGGTGCCGACCTTGTTTCTCTAACTACTGTTAAAAGTAATTATAATATAATCTCTAATTATATAACAGAACTGGCAATTAAATAGGCCTATATATTATTTAACTGCTTTTTAGGTCTCTTTAAATATCTAATAGAATTAGAGAAAGTAAAGATAATTCTATAATAGTAGGCTAGCTTTGTAGAAAAGATAATAGAATATAAAGAATAACTAGCTATTATTAGGCAGTATATATATTTATATAGTTATCTAATAAGGTAACTTCTATAGTAATTTATTCAGGTTAGTATCTATATAGAGTTAATTATAGAGAGTCTATATTTTAATATAGACTTTCTATATTATTTAAGCTATTATAATCTAACTAAACTTAGCTGCTAATTTCTCTAAGCTCTATTATAATTATAAAAGAAAAGGGACTGAAACTTAACCTATTTATATTTACTTTTACTTTTAGTAGAACTGTAATTTTAAAAGGATATACTAATAATATACTCTTATAATTTCTTCTATTACTAGAAAAAATACCTTTTCTACTAGTTTCTTTACTTTCTTCTTATAATTACTTTTAACTTTTAATAAGGGAATTTAGTATTTAAATTTACTGTATTTGACGGTCGTCTCAGGCATGTTCGCTCCTCGCACGTCGCCGTGTAACCCGCCCTCGCCGAGCGCTATCGCGTCATGCTCTTTAACTTCCACTGGGCGATATTGTTTTGGTAGAGTTAAATCGTTTCCATCTATTCCATTGGGCATTTATCTCTTGTGCAAGGGATAATCTCATCATTGGCGATATTGTGTGCACCTGGTCACTTTCTGTATTAAGAGCAGGTCTATACTTAGACGTCTTCGAATGTTAACGCAGAAGCCATATGAATTATATTTATGGTTTCTAAGCTGAGATTGTAATCTAAGGACACTTGTCAGCTTATAAATGCTGCTTAAGATATAACTCCGGAGCCACCTATATCTCAAAGGTACTGGGCCGTCTAGCAATTCACTAAAGAATATAAGCTTGATAAAGTCTGGCTTCGCTGGTCGGGGGCCCCATTTATTCCTCTATTCCCGGATAATCAGTTCTTTCAAGATATAAACACTAATGCTTAATGGATCCGGCACACTGGTTTGCGTTTCTTCAGGCAGAAAGAGAGGTCCTCTGTAGATAGCCTTTCACGGGCGCGACTCGCAACAACTTCGCCCAGCTTAAACATAGATTCTCCCCGTCCCCACTAACTCCCTATTTCCAACCTAACTCCAACCTTCACCCCGTGCCATAAGCAGCGGCCGCCGCTTCAGCTGCCGTAGATAGGACACTGAACACTTAAAGAATAGCCTTGAAGCTAGTTCGTAATAATACTACCAAACCACGGGAATCCACAGGCAGAGACAGAACGGGCAAGAAAGCATAAGCGAGGAGCAGATGCAGTATGGGCTTAAGGGGACAAGGACTCAAGTTGAGCAATGCATGACACAGCATGGGCTTAAGGAAATAAGGACACCGGTTAGGACACAGTATTGGCTTAAGGAGACCAGGACACAATTTGGGCAATATACATGTATATTAGTAATTAGTGCCCTTTCCGCTTAAGCCGCCGGGCATTAATAAATTGTATTATATTGTATTATAAGGTCACTAGCAACATCGGCGGTTCCTCCGGGACAGAGATCTTCAATCACTGCGCATCTTACACCCGACGCCAAAGTGCAAAACGAGCACTAGGAACATATTCTCTGTAGTTTAGAAGGCACGAAAGTAATTATCTCTACTGTCCATACTGTAGTCTATAAGTTCTAAGTTGCTTTTGTAAATCCATTCTCGCCGGCTAGTGGGGCTCGGAAGAGGGTCTGCGTCGGCGGTCACTCGCTCCCCCACGATGGCTTGGCTTGGGGCCACCCATGCACGAGCCCCGTCACCTTTTGACTCCAAAAACTCAGACACACCAAACTCAGGCACCCGCCCGGTCCATAAGCGCCCTTTGCCATACTTGCGCCTCGTCGGCAGCGAATCATGGGACAAAACACAGACTCCGAACAAGCTGGAAATGTCTTAACTGTCACACAGATAGCAATGGCCTAGGTACTCGGGCGGAGGGACCACGCTGGCGGCAAAATTAAGTGCTACTACTTCACTCAGAACGGTGAAGTTCGACTTGGACTTTACTTTCCGAGATTGTGCAGGAGCGAGAATCCCGAACACGACAGACCTGCAATGCCAACGTCATATTTGCCGTGACTGATATGGGTGTCAGCCGCAACGCTAACCCGAATCTTAACCTCGTGCCGAAAGACCTGACTAAGATTTTAGTGTCCAAATAAAGTCTCGCACCCAGGTGGTCGCGGCGAAACGAGCCACTGACTGCTCCGGGAAGAGCCTGGACCATGTCTACAGACAGACTGCAGCCTCGACCATATACGCAAACCATCGACAGCAAAATTATTATACGGATACAATAACGTCGCGCTGTGGTCAAGATACGTTTTGGCCGGTATTATTTATTGCTCCTTCACCCAAAAGCCGCCCCTACGTCTATCGATATATAAGCCCGTTATTCTCCCCGCCAATCTCTCTTGATGTCGCTCATCGCCGACCAACGACGGCACGCCGCCTCTAGCCCTCCCGACTCCCGGGCAAACTCGCGCGAGTTTGCAATACCTGCTACAGTAAATAAAGGATTCTGGCGTCAGGGTCCATGCTCTTCAACTATAATATCCAATCCCCCTTCGTCTAATGCGGCCGTCGGCAGCACGCCCTCCACCCCCAACAACTCTGGTAAGCAATCCTGCTATTACCGGCACTGCTTCTTATAGCCCCTGATACTGCGTACTGACTATGCTAGCGTCTGCAATCACTGCCAATATCAAGGCGGATAAGCCTTGCCTGTATGTTTGTAGCACCTGCAAGCACTCCTTCGCCCGATTTTACAATCTTAAGCGACATAAGTGCTTCTACATCAAGGAGAAACCTTTTGAGTATCCCGAATGCATACGATACTTTGTCTGTGGTAATATACTACTATATTACAAGTAGATGCTATACCAGACCTTACCCCTATTGTTATATTCTCAAAATTATTATGAGTCTGCTAGTAGTATTATTCTTAACCAGAGCCGAGCTTATAAGAATAGCATTATAGAACCTAATCTAGCTATATTCAACGTGCTGGCTACTTCTATGAGACTGCTGGCAAATACTATTATCTATATTAATAGCAGTATAATACAGATAATTGCTACTGCGAATGCCCCTATTATATAAGACATCCCCCCTATTTATATCTATAGTCTATACCCCAGTCTAGCCGGTTTGCCTATTTACAGCTTAAATTATAACTTTAGTAGTATATTACTAGCCGTGGGATAGGGAGGGGTGTAGCACGGGTTGGTCCAGCCGAAGGCGCGCACCTTAGGCGGCCTCGAGCTAAGTACCAGCCTGCAGACAGCGCTATTAATGGCCGCCTTTAATATCGAATTCGACTTTAAGGGCCTTCTCTGCGAGCCGGACTTAACAATAAACCTCAATATCCTCTATTATAATAATTCGCCGTAATCTATAGCCTTAGAATACGCCTTACTATTTGCGCCATCCTGGAACGAGATGCCCTTGAGCTAAACCCTCGATAATAGTTTTGAACTATTGAACGGTTGACTGGATTTGAGTATCAGACGGCCTTTCTCGCAAACGAGGACGTGGTGGATAGATCTAGTCCGTCCGCTATCAGTATAACGAGCCAGAGCGGGATAAGTGGTGTTATATCGGATGGTTTAAACCACTCTGCGCCGGCTGGGACGAGTACCATATGGTAACCCTGAGTAATGGGCCCTCCACAGGTGCCCAATTCATTTACGATGGATCTAGATAGTTCGGTCTTCCCGGATCTCTTAAAGGCCCCTTTATTACCCCAGCCAACTTCTCAAGACCGTTATACTATAGGGCAAAAGATTGGTTAATAATCGCTGTTGCGTAATTACTGAGCACACTAGCTGCTCCTTTAAGCCTATCGCTGTCCGGAGGACCAAGCCGTAACAAAGTATTACATTTGATAATAGTCAATCAATAGTGATGCGTAGCAGTTATGCGTGATTGAGGTAATCAAGTTGTATTAATAACTGAGGAGCGTACGCAGGTCTAAAAGAAATTTTAAAGGTACTATCCCTTTAACTGTGGTAAGGCTACACTTGACCCATAGTCCCCATAGAGGCTCGGAAGATCAGCGGTACGCTGGTTGACTTCAAAAGGCTAGGTGGCTATGCGGAGGGCTATGTATTTCGATATAGATCTCGACTTCTAGCGCCTCACAAAATAGGTGGGACCTCTTGTACCTCATCGTACTCTCCTTTTCGTTGGTTGGAATCCCTGCTACTAGCGCAAGTGTAGCCTTAGCACAGTCAAAGGGATATATTCCGCAAGGTCACCATGGCTTATGAGGCCGTACTGGTGATCCGTTGTGATCTCCCAGTGGATCGCCATTGGATCTCTATAGTCCCACGGTGGTCGAGCGTGATCCACTCTCATTGGTTCGCATTCCCGATTCTGCCCGTCCTGACCGCCTGGCCTTGCCCTGGTCATGACACAGATCGTGACACTTTTGAGCTAGGTTGATGGATCCGTTACGGACAATTCAATCGATGGATAAGGATCAATGCAGTGATGATGATGTTGATGATTAGTCCATCTCGTCATCCGGATCAGCCGGAAGAGGGGTTTTCATACCCCCCCTTCTGACTAAGGTCAGGATATCAATCTATCCGAGGTTTCGTCATACAGGGTCATCATTCAACAGATGTCGTGCTAACATCTTATATAGTCTATTAAGCAAAAGTCAAATAATCCCCGCATGCGGCGCGGGCCGAACCTTATAAAATCCTCTTCAATGCGGCGTTCAAGCGCAAAGTTGCTGTTGCACCTGCTGGATTTACCGGCACGCCCATTTAAATAAGGTGCCCTCGCCCCCCGCTACCAGCGCCACGTCACATGACCTTTCTTATATACATTCTCCCTACCGCCCAACGTCGATCCACCCTTGTGAACTTGTACTCTTAACTTCTGCCCCTTCTATCGCTCCTCATTTCCTCTTCAGCCTAAGTTTCATTTCTATAAGCCGGTCGCATCATCCGCTCTGCTGCATAGGACCGCTATTATTGCTCTAGAGCAACATAGCAAGAGCGTTAGCCGCATTCTCCCTTTTCTACTGATTTAGAACGATCGGTTGTATTATATAAATGCTTTCTATAGATTTTGTTTTTAGGAGTAGGTTTGATGGTTGATTAAACTTGTGAAGTCGGAGTTGTTTGTTGTTAGATGGTTTTGTTGGAGATCACAAGTGTGAGGCGACCAAGTGGGCAGCAAGGTGTGGAAGACGATGGAACATTCCACAGAGATCGTGCCTGTAACTAATACATAAATAATAGTTCCCTACTGCACACTTAGTGAGAAATAAGCAACCTGATCTTCTCATTTCAACGTCAGTAACTCTTAGTCTATCTCGGTTTCACGTCCTAAATGTAGCCCTCCTCTCCTGAAAGCCGCTGGCGACATCGACCGTCCGCCTACGACCTCAGATTCTTCTTGATCATCTCTAGGTCCACCTCTAAGAAGCCCTGGCCCTTGGTGACATAGCCCTCCCAGCTGCCGTACTTGTCCCGTAGACCCTCGAGGAAGGCGTTCCAGTACGACGGGCGCAAGCTGACGAGATTCCAGAAGCCCGGCGTCTCCGGGTCCGAGACGCCCAGGCTAGCCATGGCGAAGCCGCCGAGCTTCTCGCGCGCGCTCTCGGTGCCGAGGCGCGATAGCATGTAGTCGAGGACAACGTCGTCGGGTGCGGTGTCGGCGAGGCTCTGCAGGAGGCCGGCGACGACGCCGGTGCGGTCTCGACCGGCAGGGTCGAGGGGAAGAAGATCAGTTGGTAAGCGGACGGTTCTCGTGGTCATAGGGCCAGCGATGTGGTCTGAGATAAGAGGAGAAAGAGAGGAAAGTCGCGTTGTCTAGGAGATGACCCCGAAATGTGATATCCTTCCTAAGACCTATTCGTCTGACAGCGTGCTCGCCTGGAGAGTATTCTCGAGACAGTAATTCAGTCTGCGCATGTGACAAGTACTGCATCCACACTCCCTTGTTCTCATGTTCTGGAAAGGAAAGCGCTTTAGCTAGCCGCTGGATCACCGTTATATTACACGAAGACTGTAAGAAGGCTAGGAAAGGGGCTTGATGGAAAGTCTGTATGCCGGGCGGGGACGACTTCTTTTAAGGCCTTTGGTATTCGCCCTTTCCTTCCTAATAACTATAAGGGAGCTCTCCTTATGTCACATTTTGGGATCATCGTACGATGCCTGGAACAGCTTCCAGACCGGCTGCTAGGAATCCGATCCGGACCGGGTCTCAGACCCTCGGCAGGTGGGTCCTCCGGTCTCAGACCTCCGGACCTCGGGCCCGGAGGCTGCCGGAGGCCGCCGGAGGCCGCCCTCATCTTCATCTATAAGACCGATCCCTAGCCCTTCGTTAGATAGAAAATCAAGAGCTTTCATCATCATCATCCTGATCCTATCCACTCAGTGTGACACCTTATAACCACAAGGTCTACCAACATGCTATTGGCGAATTGACCCTCCTGACGAAGCTTGAAGACATAGGGGACAGCTTAGACATTTTAATGTCCACCTCGCAGCGACAAAATCTCGACAGTGGTAAGAAAGTTACGCGACTAGTCTAAGAAATACACTGACAATTCTTCGTAGATCCGGCCGCTGTTGGACTCGCACGGCTGCTTAACGGGCTACCGCTTGCTCTCCCGACTGCTGGAACCTTTCAGGTTTCAACAAGTTGGGCAGAATACATCCAGATACCCCAAGAGTCATGGCTGTGGCTCCAGAAAAATAGTCCAAAGTCCCTCCGCTTGGAATCGGGCTTCGAATTCTACCCCACCTCTTATCAAGGCCGTGTCGAGTTGATTGACCACAAATTCCTCGTACGTTGTCGACGGATATCTACCACCGGTCAACTGTGCCAAGTCTCTGATACTCAAGCCACCGAGAGAAGGATCAGGGTCCTTGTAATGGTAGACGTCCTCAGTTCCTCTAAGAATGCACCTTGGCTTGCACCCCACGAGAATATCTTTGATATATTTGACCCCAACAAGCCCCTGAACCGTTTCTCTGAACTTCCGCGCAACTGAGGGCAAGAAACCGCCCACTATAAAGTAACTGCTGCGGATAACATAGCCAAAAGGAATGTATTGAAGTAGGTGATCGTACACGTCGCCGCTTCCGACATCCTTGCCTCGTCGTATTCTGTCGATGACTGCTTGAATTTGTTCGTTGATATCAGGAATTACTAAGCCGTCGGGGTCTTCGTGCTGAATGCTCTCCAACATCCACTTCAATACTAGGTCGGATAGTACAGTATTCGGTTGGACCGTCCCAGAAAGTAGGTTTAGTGGTACTGTAACCGCTGCTTGAGGTAGACTAGTGCCCGCTCGAAAGAACTTAAACTTCTGCCGACCTAGGTCGTAATGCGTCCTAGGAAACCACTTCTGGTGGATTTCAAATTTGGGATCTGTCTTAGATCTGACGCTTCGATTCACCAAACAAGGTCGAAATGCGGATAGCCTGTCGTGATGAGATATGGCATGGTATACTTTCTCCATAATACCGGATACACTCTGGTCGTGGAAGCTATCTCGCCATACGAGGCCTTCGCCGCCAATCAGTTCCGGAATACCTAGGGTTCCTACTGTGTTAAAAAGGCCTATGAACTTGACGGGTGTTCTAACATTATGGCTGTTCCTTATACGAAGTTTTCTTATGTCGTCAGATTGAGGATGGGCCCATTCCTCTGGGCAGCGGTATATCTTATACACTCGTTTGCATCTCATAGTCGTAATGGTACGGTTAATGTTTCCATGTCTATCAAGCGTAGGCTTTATAATACCGCAGTTGTTGATCATGCCCGCGACAGACCGGATAATGTAAGCTCCTCTACTCAGACCAAACATCCAAATTTCGAATTGTAGCGTATAGTTCTCGACAATGTATTGATACGCCGCTTCGCACTCCTCATTAACTTGAACGGCGGCCGCGCACTCGAAGAGATTGTGCAGAAATGTGCTGCCCAAGCCCACTCCGTCAGCATAGCGGGCTTTGACAGTATCGGTACTCCGTATAGAGAGCTCCGAGTCCACGCGGATGCCGACCATTTCGGCGAGTAGATGGATATTAGTTTCTGTGCCGGCCTCTTTACCGCACCATGTTCCATCGCATAGGAGAATCAGCTTGTTTCTGGGCTCCCTAGCTTCGGGTTCTCTGGCGTCCATAATTAAAGGGTGGAACACTGGAGGGGAAAGTGTAGTGTTAATAGAGAATCGACGATGCAGCGGGCGAGAACAATCTGTGGAATAATGCAAAAGACAGAGGCATTAACTGGAGTGGAAGTACCAAGGTGAGGTGCGATATTTTTTGTCTTCTGAAATGAACAATCAAAGGATATGTAGAAGTATTAGGTAGATAAAATGCAAGCCCATGTGATGACAACCTGGAAAGCAGGACTTTAAAGGTTCACGACTTTTCCTCCCTTCCCGTAAGCGCGGACCTGTGGTGACTTCTGATTGGGGCTTTTTGCTGCGAACGTAAGCCCGCCTCGACGGACTTTGCAGCGACCTGGTGCGCGACGAACTTGCGCACCTACTCGTAAATCAGCACACCCAAATCCGGGCTGACGACCTCGTCCATAAAAGCCGTGGCGGACAACGAAACGGTAGCAGCCGGGGATGCTGGCGAGCCGGGAGATGTGGTAGCGCTCTTCGTCGGAGACGGATGGAGTCTTGGCGGGGTGGAGGTGGAAGAACACGGAGACATCGGTCTAGGCGCCAAGTTTGGAGGCGAAGTAAGTGCAGACACTCGGGGTAAGAACGCCAGTCTTGTTAAAGAAGATGCCGAAGCCACTGACGGAAGAGAGTAGGTCACCGCCCCACCGAAGTATCAGCGCCAACTTACCCCCTATTCTTTATAACGAGAGTATAGGGCTGGAAACAGTCGTCTGCCTCAGTATGACACTGGTTCTCCTTGCTAAACCTCTACAGCAAGAACATGCCAGCTATAAGCGCCGAAATAAACAGTATAAACCATACGCCATCTGGCATCTTTTTGATGGCCGACGAAAGATACAAACCGTCGACAATAACAAAGACTTCGGCTGGTAAGAACACGACCTATAATGGAAGACGCCAGATGAGGATTGCGACCAGCATGACTATGAGGGTGTCGAACAAGGTGATAAATATAATGCATACGCCGTAAGCATGGCCCAAGCTTGTGGTGCTGTTATCACAAGGCGGTGACGAGAATAATGCCGAGCATGAGCAGCCAGCCGCACGAACATTTCCTCAGCCGAGCCAAGCCGACGTGCGAATACCAGCGATCCTCCAGCCGAAAGCCCTCTGCACATCGCAAAGAGGTTCATCTTCGTTAAGACAGAGGGAGCAGCCAAGAAGGTACGGGACGAGAGTTAGATCCACTTGTCAGATTTGTGAGCAATCGCTAGACATAGCATAGAAGCACGATAGAATAAATTCAAGACATTTCAAGGCAAACCATCTGCATTACTTTCTAAATTGTCGACCTTGCCATAGGTTTCCTAACCACTGGCAGCACACAGGGCTACTGCTAGAACACAGAGTTAGCAGCGCCGAAGACTGGTCCGCTGCGGTCCCGCTGCTATTGCCGCATCTACCGCAGCAACGAGAATTGAATGAATCACGTTCGTAAGATACATCGCCCAATGTACTGAGGGGCTCACAAGATGTCCGTGCAGATCCATTTCACATGTTAGAGCGTGCGTTTTGGGTTTTGCAACAGTGACCCCTATAGGCTGCCATGCACTAGACAAGCCATGATGGAGACGAGTGCGATTAAGGCGTAGGCCTATGGAAACCGGAGTAAGCGGCACTGGCCTAATGGTACGTCAGAGTCAGCGGCGCACCAGATTGGTCCGTTGGAAAGAACATGACACCTGACGTTATGCTGTGCAGAAGCGGTTGCATAATGGGATCTGGAAGAGGATATATATTGAATAGATACGCTCCGGCAGTCTTGCGTCATCCCAGTCGCTCGCTATACTTCCGCCATGGCTGCTAATCCGCCGAAGCGACCAGGGCAACCGAAACTGCGAACCAGCTGCGATCAATGCGGTGCGGCCAAGGTGAAATGCGACCGAAGCCAGCCCGAGTGCGGACGCTGTGTCTCTCACGGCAGGACATGCATCTATGGGGTTTCACGGAAAATGGGGAAGCCGCCGCGAGTGAAATTTCGACCAAGCTTATATCGGACCCCAGGCGATCAAGCTGGAGCCCACGCCGGAGCTGGAGCCGGCGTTACAGAGGTGCACAAGCTCGATAGTAGTAGTTGCAGCGATGGTATAATTATGACGCTCGATCCGCTCTCCAACATTACTGACGTAATCACAGCCTGGGATGCCACGGATAAGAACACCAACTGCATAGACTTGGACGCGTTGGACGGCTTGTTCACGGACCTGAACGCATTGGATGGCTTGTTCAACGACATAAACGGCCAACTTATACCCAATTCCCCTTCTCTCAATTTTGGTGAAATAGCCTTTACAGATCATTTCAACAACCACTTATCTCCTAACTTGCAACCCGGGCCATTTCCCACCCCGGAATCGACTGACTGCAGGAGTTACCTACCAACAGAGGCTTCTACGACCCAGCCCACCGCACATCACTCCCCATCCGACGCCAATTCACACTCTGACAGAACTGCAATGCCGCCTGCGGGCATTAGCGGCCACGACTGTCCTCGGGAAGCATACGACATCCTACGAAACCTATCTTTTCCCAATCCCAACAAAATTCACTCTACCACATCATTAGGAACACCAGCCTCGGCGACAAGCGGCGTTGGCAATCAAGTACCCTTGGACCACGTCCTACGCCTCAATGCCGAGGCCAGCGAGCGGCTCAGTCCTCTTTTGACCTGCTCTTGTGCTCGGTCGCCGCATCTTGCGTTTCTATATGCATCAATCATATCCCGGGTCCTACTATGGTACCAGCAAGCGACTGCCTACACACAGAGCGCTACATGGAGCCATGCCACGCCAGACTGCTCGCTTAGTATGGGCGGCGCAAAAAGTACAGCTACAACCGCTCCGTACGCGACGGGGTTGGCTGTTGCGCCCGCCAAGATGGCCATCGGGAGTTTCAACGTCGACGACCTACGTATACAGACGGCTTTGAAGATCCAGTTGTTGTCAGGCGAGATGGGAAGGGCCGGCCGCCTGATTGATCAATTTACTTCACTCAACTCCGGCGGCCAATGTCAGACGGATGAATCCAATCTTGGCAGCATTAATAGACTGTATCAAAGTTTAGATGCATGGCTAAGAGGTGAGCATTCAAGGATAGCCAATATGATGAGACTAAAATTGAGGGAGCTCAACACATGAATCGAGCATAGAGCTAATATGCCTTCCCCCTTGCATATGTGCACTCCTGGCTTGCACCTTCACCTCCTGCTTCGTATGCACTGCCTCCGGATGCTCCTCTCTAAAAACACTCTTCGTCGTCTCACCTTCCCCTCAAAAAATCTTTTCTTGGCGCGAGCCGTTAGTGCTTTGGTGTAACAGGGGGGCCCTGTTATAGGCCAAGCCCTTACAAAATCGACCATGCGACTATCACGGCCCTTACAGTCGGTCAAGCAGGCGGTTCTGCCTTCACGACCACGACCACGACCGTCACCACGACACGACAATACCGCAATGCGCACCAACGGGGTCCCCCTCGGAACGCCTGGGAAGGCGTTGGCAGCCGTACGCGGACCACGATATGTCGTGCCTGTACCGCCGTAGAGCCTAGCGGATCCTACAGGCTCGCAAGAACCACCTTGCGCACGATTTTCGACGGCGGCCTAGCCTTTGGCCCTTTGGCCAAGCTAGACCCTCTATCAATAGTCTCTGAGAGAGCTCCAAAGTCAATGACGGGAACCTCAAGACGAACTGCAACACCGCGGGACTAGGGACCTGGGATTGAGAAAGGATCTGGAAGTGAATAACGGGCTGGAGTTACGGAGCCCTCGAACGAAGGAGAGGAACGTACTTGAACCTTCTGCCGCTTGGACTTGTTGGTTTTTCATCCCTAGAGGGTCTTCCGATGAGGAGGCTTGATGTGCGGGATATCTAGTGTTTAAAGGCGGCTGATAGATTACGGCACAATGAGACTGGAAGGATGTATGCTTCGGTTGACCTAGCATCCCGGAGGGCCTCGTTGCCTCGTACTTACCAGTAGCTGGAACAACTAGGTAGACTCTCGCACGCCACATGCCCCTTAGGAGGCTGGAGCGCCTTGCGCTCCCTTGGCGTTAAATACATCTCTCTCTCTCTCTCTCTTTCTCCATCATCTTTCCACCTTCCCCTTGATTTATTTTTCTTGGCACCTAGTGTTAGTGCCCTCACGTAATTACTGCAATTTCCCTAACAAGGCTTCCGAGAGACCCGGCCGCCCACCCGACCGCACCCGGGCCCGCTATGGCTGCCGTGCCGGGCACCCCACACAGGAACATTCTAGCACACCAGATGATACTGGATAGCAGCCCTCAGACCTTTTTCGAAGAACCAATGCCCTCTTCGCCCACAAAGCGAAGACGTACAGCGCAGCCCGAATACCCCAAGCCGCCGGCTCTAGCTGCCCCGGGTAGGTCCCAGCAGAGGGAAAAGGGGCCCCCGGAACAAGGGCCCCTAGACCCCCTCATCTCCGAACTTGGCACCTTCGTCAAAGGGATCAAACAGCTAGCGCAGGCTATTGACAGTATCGTCGACAATGCCGGCCAGCAGGAGAAACAGACCCACCACCGATGCATGCCGAGAAAAATCATACCGAGGACAAAATGGCATTGGCGGTCTGTATAACGGGTGCTGACTCCGGCCGGCCGCCGCCTGCTCCGAGAAGGGTGAGCGAGGCAAAGACGCCGGAGGAAAAGGCGACATCGAACCCGGCTACCACATTTTGCGTGGAAGGGTTGCTGGCATAGAGGCGAGGAAATAGACCGCTTCTTCCCTCAGCCGCCATTGTGGCTTCGTTAAACATGTGAAAATGATATATAATAATCAGACTATGAGACTTGGAATGGGGCGTCTAATTATACAAACCCGAAGATGGGCTCGGACGGAGCATCCAGCAATATCTCGCCACAAGTGACATCTGTTTTTTTTCGGAAACATGGTAGTCAGCGTCAAATGGATATGGCCCCAAAAACAGGCCGAGGTAATATAACCAGCCCGGAATTCTTCAGTGTAATACAATTACGATTTGCTGACGCCACAGTCACGTTACATTCAGGCTCCGCCATTGGCATTGCCGAATGATCTCGCATGGTGTATGGAGGGCCGAGAATGGCCGAATATCGAGACCCAACAGATTGGAACACAGGCCAATACCACACCTACTTGTCGCTAACACTGCCCACCTATGTAGGTACCTATGCCTATGTAGCCAGTAACGGAACTTGCCGAACCGCCCTCTCAAATAACCATGTTGGCCCGGACCAGTGGGCGCTATAATCTGACTGTGTCGTGGTCTCGCAGGGTTAGGCGTAGGCTTAAGCATAGCATGTGGTTAAAAGATATGTTACCAGTCGTAGGGCTGACAGGGTATGTGGATGACAATGCATGGCTTCGGCTTACTGCGTCTTGCGGCTCAACGATATGTAAACTTCCCAAAATAGTAGCCTATTCTAGAGGAGATGACTCAGACGCCGCTGTAGCTCTGGAGGCTAAAGCTGCGGCGAACACGAACGGCGATGGACAAGACAGCGCCCCCGGCGATACATCTCCCGAGGCTGAAGCTACAGCTCCGGAGTCTGAACCTGGGGCGAACGCTGACGGTGATGGTCAAGACGACGCCCTCAACGCTGTGACTCCAGAGGCTGAAGCTATCGCTCCGAAGTCGGGAACCGACGGCGATGGACAAGAGGACCCGGATGCTGGTGCAGTTCCCGAGGCAGAAGCTATAGCTCCGGAGGCTGAGGCTGAGCCGACAGCATGTTAGGGCCGAAACAGTACGATATTCCGAACATATTCGTGTAGCCACTGGATCAAGGTTGGGGACGGCGTAGGAGTAGCCATGCCTCATGTAAGGGGCGCGCCTTGCTGATGGTTTGGTATGTCGGGTTTATTCGTTTCGTTTATGTCGCGAATTGCCAAATATTCGCTTTTGCGTTTTCATTATGCATTCTCTTGCTTTATCCATCACGTCCCTTTGTTGCGCCTGGGCTTTTCACTAATGCCCAAGCTCGAAGATTCACCACTGCGGGGCTGGCTCTGCAACGTGGCGCAAGCTGGTCCGGACTACTACGGCAGCCTATAGGGGTCACTGTTGCAAAACCCCAAAAGTCACTGCGCGAGAGGCGAAAAGGGTTAGCGGTATGGCCATAGTGCCCAGCAGTATATTGCTCCACGTACCCCAGCGTAAATTTCCTGTACTTTTTGGCGTTACGGAAGGTACAATTACAAGAGCGGGACTGCAGCAGACTAGCAGAGTGTATTTCTATTACTTCTAATATCAGCCGCTACTATAGCAGTTGAGTTTGATAATACTAACGCTTAATTATCCTTATTCTCATTCTTATCCTTCTTATCTAGCTTATTAAGCTGCTAAGTATTAAGTTAGTAGTGTAAATATACCTAGTTAACGATTTAATCCTACTTATAATTCAGAGCTAAGCAGCTTTAGTAATAGTCTCTAGCGCTATAATTATTTGCTCCTTAAGGCTCTTCTCAGCTATTTCACTATATAAAGCTAAAGCAGAAGCTAGTTTTAGAGCAGCAGCAGGAGCTGTACTACTACTGTAAGCTTATAGCTGTTGCACTATATACTGTATAGCAGTACGCTAGATATTGTCACGGGCCAGGGCCCATATCCTTGCGGCTGTGCCGCAAGACGTACAAGGCTTGTGCGCACTAGAAACGGGAAATCGTTCCACAGCTCAGGGGCATTTGGGAACTTCTTTCTTTCTTCTTCATCTTTGATGTAAATAGCATCCTGGACTAGATAGCTAGAATACAGTTACTAGAGGCCGTTCACAGATATTATCTAGATCGGTATTTATATATATAAGCTGCCAATTTAACTTCCAGAAGATATATACAGCAGTAAGAGTACTAATAGGAACCTAGAGATATAGCTTAATTAGTAGCCTATTAATTGAGAGTAAGTAAAGATACTTACCGGCCTATATATATAACTATACTTTATGTAACCTTAGTATATAGTATTAGTATCTATTCAGTATTGTAACAGTCTCAAGGTAGTGTATTGCAACTAGCTAGGCTACTTTTACAGAGTATACCAAACTTAAGGAAAGAAGAAGAAGAGAAAGAGAGTAGAGGAGCTCCATCCATAAATATACTCGTCATGGTGGCTTAAAGGTAAAAGGTGGGCTATGAAAGGCCGAGGGTTTCCGAGGCCACCTACGGGCACAACCCGTTACAAATGCAACCCTGATATCTTGCTACTAGACTGTACCTATAAGACAAACAAGTACGGGATGCCACTCCCTGATATAGTCGGCGTTGATGCTTGCGAGCGCTCTTTCTGTATTGCTTTTGCATTTCTCTCTCCAGAGACAGAAGAGGACTACTCATGAGCCTTACAAAATCTCAAATCCCTCTGTCAACGAGATCTTCCTTTTGTTGTCTTGACAGACCAATGTCTAGCAGTGATAAATACTGCTGCAACCTGGTTCCCTTTATCTAAGAGACTGCTGTGCATCTGGTACGTTAATAAGGCAGTTTTATAGTATTCCCAGCCAGTCTTTCTAGCTAATAGGGGCCAGAGAGAAAAGATATAGGATTAATTCTATGTATTCTGGTATTTAATTATAATCTTACTAACTAAAATAATATTTTAAGAGTATTTAACTTACTTTAAGTATAAATATACTAAGAAATATATTAAAGTAGTTAGATATATTAGAGTAATCTAGCTTAATTTATTTAAAAAGAGAATTATTAAAGTATAAGTTAATAAATACTTATACTTTAATAATATAACTATCTTAAGATAAATAGCTTATAATATTATAGAAGATAAATACTAATAAATCTTTTAAAGCTAAAAGAATTTATTTATTAATAAAAATATATATTATCTATCTTAAATCTTTTTAATATTTAATAAGCTATAAAACCTACTATTATTAAATAACTAAAAGAATTAAAGTATTTATAGGCTTTTTAATAAGTATTAATACTATTAAATATCTCTAGAATATTATTTAAAATAATATAAAACTGGGTTTTATATAAGATTTTTTATAAAGTATAAGAATAATAGTAATTACTTTTAAAGCTACTTAAAGTATTTTATACTAGAATCTTTATATTCTTATATAGACTGCTATATATTTATATCTTAAAAAAGCTTAAAAAGAAAGAGTAGGCTATTTTACTAGAGTATTTTTATTTCTATTAATATTTAAAGCAAGATATAGCTTAACTATAGCTAATTCTAGAGTTTAAAGCAGCTCTAAGATAGCTTAACTAAAGATAAAATTAGCTGATAATAAGTGCTAGATAAGAGCCTAGTATATTTAAAGCAGTTAAAGTAGCAGTATAGCTAAAAGTATAGCTTAAATATAGTAGATATTATATATTAAATTATATAATAACTTTAAAGATATACCCTCTATAATATAAAGAACTCTTCTAGTTATTAAAATTAGTAATAATAGCAGCAATATAAATAACTAAAGAGATAATAGTAGCAATAATAATACTAGTAGCTATAGAGATAATAGCAGTTTAGGTAGTAGTAGGTTAGATAGAGGTAGGTCTAATAGTAGTAATTTAAGTACTAGCAGGCTATATAGTAATAAACTAGATAATAACAGACTAGAAATTAGCAGATTATATAGCAGTAAGTTAGATACAGTTTAGGAATTTACAAACTATATAGTAGTTAACTAGATAGTAGTAGTATATATAGTAGCAGAGTAGATAGTAGTAGTTTAGGTAGCAGCAGTAGAGATAAGAGTAGTAATATTAATATTAGAACTTAGATATAATAACCTATAGGCTATCTATAAGAGATATATTAAAATAAGAAAAGCTTAATATAAGATACAGCTTTATAATAATATTAAAATTAATTAATAATATTAAAAGATAATAAATTTACCTTAATAATATAATAAAATAAGCTATAAGTAGTATCTTAACTAAAAGCAAATAAATAAGTAATATAAAATATAAAAAGACTTAAGAAACTGGATTAAAAAAAAGATAATAATATATCTAAATTAGAGTAAGATAGAAGAGAATAGAGCTAAGACTCGAGTAGCAGCTAAGATATATTACAGCTCAGGTTGGGACCAGGTAGTCATAACTAGCAGAACCATAATATACCTACTTTTTCACCTAATACAGATCCTAAACTCACCCCGTATAAGTAAGCCCGGACGCTTGACTCGCTTCTCCAGGATGAGCCACAAGACTGGACTCACTCTTACCCAGTAAGCCCATATAAGCACTACTAGTATATAAACACTCATTTAGCACTTTCATAGAAGGATAGCCTCACCAGCTATTAACACACTTAGTTATATTGAATCTACTATTCTACTATTACCAGACTGTAACCTACATTGCTCACTACGACATCCTGATCCACTCAATCATATACCACACGCCTCGGACCTACCCTATACCCTTAGGTTAGACCCGACCGTCACAAGATAGAAGGCAACCTTTTTTCTAATAGAAGAGGTATACGTGAGATCTGGGAGGCAGCCACGGCGTATTGTGAGGCATAGGAGGCTTTCTATTCAGGTAGGTAGGTAACTAGGAATTCATCACAGATTTGAACGCTGCGCGTGGCAGCCCCTGATAACTGCAGTTGCGTGTGTGGAAGGGGGGCGCGCAAATGTTAGTCAGCAGGGCGCGCAAAATTAAATGCGCGCCCGGGCGCCTCTGTATTGGGCGTCCCGTGGGAATTAGAGCCACGGGTACCCGTGGCTCTATTGGGTCCCAGAGGCCGCCGTGGATATCCTATTGTTATTGTGGAGTTCGGTGGACAGAAACTTCTCATAGGCTTCGACTATTTGAGTTCGTCCGCTTGGAGCCCGTGTACGCCTGGTTCCAGAGCCGCTCTTGGTGGCTGGTCAAGGGAGGCTCGGAAACGACAGCGGGCCGCGGAGGGTTTGCTGGGGAGGTGGTGCGACGAGGAGAGCTCGATCGTGGGCTGTTATCCTTGGGCTTGATCTTCCGCCGCAACCAAGACCTCATGATGTTTGCCGGTTAGCCTACAACGACGGCGGTGTAGGATAGCATGCGGAGGCGGTATACGCAGCTGGACACGGTCGTCATCTGGAAACAGCGCCATTTTGTGCTCGTACGGGGAACCACTATCATCGTAGTTATCTGCCTGGTGAGTGTCCTCTTCTAAGCCAGGCTCAGAAGTGTAACACTAGTCAGTCTGTTGGAGCATTTAGTATCATGGCCGTGAGTTGGATCTACTCCGCTTGGATCAGAAGGGGCTAGCCAGCAAATCATAACAGATGTTCTCGTTGCGGATGGTACCATACATCTATAGCTCTGCGATGATTCTAGCTCACGGGGGAAGCAGGCCCGCGAGGTTCTCTTTTCCACACGAGGTCCTCGTACTTGGTCCTTTACATCATAATTTATCATACACGACCCACGCCATCCTCCTCTCTCCCAGGGCGCACGGACTCAGCGATCAAGAATTAGCTGTGAAACGCTCACCAGCTCCCCACCCCTGTCACAAACTGTAGTGGGTGGACTAGGATGGTGATTCCCCAACTGGTGCGGCACGCTAAAAACACAAGTTTTAGCCATTTGGTGTCCTTATCAGTGCCCGCTCATTTCATTAATTGCGGTCCCTCAATCTCCTGAGACGCACCCTGGCCGTAGGATAATCGACGCCGTGTGGGTGTGCTGATAAAATCGCAGTTTTATATTGAGCAAAATATTGAGGAATATTGTGTGTCGACCGTGTACCCGCGGCTGTTAACCGCCGGTTAGGGGGGCGTGTGGCCGTTGTCGAGTCGTCCTTCGCCATCTTCGTCTCCATTCTTATTCTGCTCACGACCGACGCAGACTCGGCCTGGCTAGCTGTACATTGACCTTTGTCCTAGAAGGCGGTGTTAAACGTGTCTGATTTCATATTTCTGTCGATCTTTTTGGTGTGATCTACCTGTTGGTATTGTTGTAACTATGGATAATTGGGAGGAAACGAGGCTAATGCTTTCCTCGCTTTTCTTCAACGAGGACCCGAATCCGCTTTTCCACGGCCCCACTTTCGTCTTCCATTGGAATTTTGACCCACCGTCCCTTCACCTCCGCTTGTTTCTCCAGCCTCCATCTTCATATGTGGGCTAGGCATATGATAGAGGGTCTCTGCTAATGTACAAAGATGCTATAGCTTATGCGGCCCGCGGGCCCTTCGTGATGTCTATGTACCTATAGTCTCCGCCCAGTGTTTGGCGGCGTCGTATGTTTTTCTGTTGATCTTACATTGGTCTGATGGTTGTGCCATTCTGTATGTTCCCCAGGTTATCAAATTGATAGGATTAATCTTGCTGTTGTTGGGCCAAACCTGAAACTGTGCTTATTAGCCCTGCTTATCTTTGTCTGTTTCCGGTCTCTGCCAAATTGCGAATTTCCACCAATATTAGGCCCTAGTCCGCCATGGAGGGTACTCCATTGCCGAGGAGAACAGAAGGCAGCAAATCCGATTCAGCAGCTTGCTCCTCAACTACTGCAGGTCAAAGCAGGTCCGCTGTGTTAGGGTCAGACATGCGTTGTGATTGACGGGCTAATCTGCCTTCGACCTATAGGGGTGTTGCTGCTTCGTCCTAACTTCTTTGGATTGTACGGCTTAATTACACCTTGGTATGTTTCTCTCCAGATGGAAAGAACTGGTCAATGTCGGTGAGTTTACGGACGTATAGGAGGGGCAGTCTGGTGAGCAGTCACTTTACACGCATCACACGCCCGCAACGATCCTGCATAGGTTGCTCATAGGACGATCTCATTCCAAGCTACAGTGGCCATTTTCATGCAATTCAAGGAGCCTAATAAAAGTAACCTGTAAACATTATGATCGCTCTGTGGTGCGGTTATGTTTGGTAGCCTGCGAATACAAATTGTCGTTGTTCAAGGTAACACCTACGAGACGCAATTTCACTCACCAACCATCATAATCATGATCAAACGCTCTCCCTGCTTATCAACCACATACACATTCCCCCACTCTCTAGGCTATTGCTAGGACCCCTCAGACGTCGGCCTTTTCCTCCTCTTCTATTTTTCCCTTATCTCTGTTGGCGTTTTACGTACGACTTTTGCGGGATCGAAAGCTAGATGTGGGCGGATTGAGAGACGGGCATACGCACGGACACACACATGCATAGGTCCAGAACAAGTGACACAGAGAGAGCAAGAGAGGGGGAAGGCTGAGACTATCAATTGTAACACGTGATAGATCAAAGCTCTTGGTTGGACGTTGGATGCAGGGAAACTCGAGCTCAACATGGATGGCGCATGAGCTAAGGCAACTGCCTGTTCGATCTTCCCGCTTCGAGCGGTTACATTGCTCTTTGCTGTCCGAAGCCCGTGCGCATTGTTTTTCCGAGTTTGAGCCAGTGAGGCAACTAAATCGTTCATCCTGGCAAAGCACGGACCCTCTGAAATCTGTCTACACTTGAATGCCACGCCTGTTCTACCCCCGCCCCCCCCAAAAAAAAAAAAAAAAAAAAGGAAGAAAGAAAGAAAGAAAGAAAGATTGCAATGTAGGAATATAAGTTATCTGCTAACTATTCCTGGTATTAATCGCCCCGGAAAGTAACTCTCCCTCAGCAGCAAGCCATCAAGATATCTCGCTGCGCCAATGTGCAAAGCAAGGAGGCAACGCTTCGGCCGCAGAGCACAGAGATAGTTGAGCTGGCTTACCCCATTTCATCACATCCTAGTCGCCATGGTCTTGAGCTGACCGAGCAGCCAATGGACCCTGAGCGTCATAGTGTAGTAATTGCTGATATCCGAATCTGAGGACAAACCAACCCCTCAACAGAAATCGGTCCCGGGGATACTACAGACCGTACCCTAAACAACGACTCGAGAGTGAATTAGCACCATTTTGGGAGTTCTTGTACTTCGGCCCCTCGCTGATCACTGCCTCCGCTGTACGGGATTCCCCAGTGGTCCGTGCCCCGTCCAACTATATCTCAACCTCCCGCTACAGAGCCTATTGATTGGTAGCCTTTTTAATATGCACGGAAAGCTCCTCGTTACTGCTGGGGTTTGACAGCTGAATGACAGCTGAATGACAGTTGAATGACAGAGACGAGCCAAGACTTGATCAATAGTCACTTGTGTGATGCGCTTCTTGCGTCTGTTACTTTGCTGGACTGCGCCTCGCCTGTTTCTGTGCCGCATGCTTGCTTTTTCTAAACCCTTTCCCTCCCTCCCTCCTCCGCTTTTGGGTGCACTTTGGGCCGTAATTTCCTTTCTTTTATTTTCACAACCCTTGCTAAGCCGCTTGTCTAAGTGGCGCATCGGAGCTAGATCAATTACGCTCAAGAAGCATATCGTGGTTCAAGCCAGTGCTCGTGCTCAGACAACCTGTCCTGCAAGACTGGGTGACTGATCAGTGAGATGTGCATCACTCAAGCAACAAGTGCAAACGTCCCTTGCACATCTGGATAATACAGCTACAACTTCGGGGCCTGCAAGCCAATTTCTAGACTCCTAACCCAACCGTCTTGGGCAGGCAAACAATGGATTATAGCTGCGTTTCTGGCAGGAGCAATGGTTGGGAATTCATCAGCCCCTCCAAAGAGGACGCCCCTCTCCATATTACTCTCTCGCTTAAGGAGGGAGCTCTCTTAATCAACTTAAACACAACACACATACATCAACACCCTGAATGTATACAACCCCACCAGACCAGTTATGTCTCAGAAGTACTCGGTAAGATATCTCTCTGTCCAGCACTCGAGTAACAGTATATCATACCGCCCGCTCTTCCTGATTGTGAACTGATCCCTTCAAACCAAACTACCGCGCACATTTATCTCAGTTGCTGCCTCATCTCAATCTACACCTGCACTCTCTTCAACCTCCTCCCACCATGAGTAGCTTCACCAAGCAGCCAAGCCGGCTGTTCAATCTCAAGCTGATCCACAGATACTTCCCTAAGGACAAAGCTACAGGCCCACGTGCCGAGAGAAGCTCGCAAAGCAGCCCCGGTCAACGCTCCAGACCCAAGGGCAAGGGATCAGTTGGATCAAATTGTTCTTCACCTGGACTCGTTGACGACCAAACCGAATCAGAGACTTCTCACGAGGACGACTACCAGCACCACCAAACTTACGACGAGATCTGGGACATCTTCTTTAAGCATGGCTCCGGAGAAACAAAAGATGACGTCGAGCCCCTCCTCCAAAAGAAGCAATACCCAGCCTTGCTGTCCTCTGCCGAGCTTCGATTACTGGAACAACCATCACCAACCCCAAACAAACCGCTTCCTGACATCCCCACACAAGTTCGACCCCTAATAGCACCACAACGGGTGCCCCGAGTGACGGAGGATCGTCGAGTCCCCGCTTGGAGCCCCCAGAACACTCGACCCAAGGCCCAAAAGGCCGGGGTAGCCTACTCGCTCTTCCCAAAGCCTGTCGCTTTGCCTCCAAGGACTACAGCCATCACACCTTCGTGGCGGTCCCTTCAGGAGACGCACAAGCCCCAGCGACCACTTCATCCCGGCGCCAACGCAACTAAGCATGCTCATCGACATATCGCTGAGCTCTATCACGACCCAGCTAATGAGAATGAGAAGACAGTTCAGGAGCTCCGTGAGGAAGCTATTCATGACCTCCTCGGACGGGTCGTCAGGAACTCTCCAATTCAAAAATCGATTACAGGCTCTCGTGGCCGAAATTTCATCCGTTCCTTCGACGAGGTCGTCATGCCTACCGAAGTCGAGGTTACCCAGTCTTCGCCTAGAAGCCCTCCAGGTTCGGCTCTTTTATTGCCCCCGGTGGAGTACGACTGGGATAAAAATACTCCCATCCTCTCTCGGCCATCCTCACCAAAGGACCTTCGACCTGAAGCATCATCAGAGACCTCCCCTGAGGCCGCTGCTCCTCCCCGTCGACCTACTATAGCAGCTACAGAGGCCCGCCCTAAGACTGCTCGCGATCATGACCGGCGACCTACTACGGCATCTCAAGAGACCCGCCCTAAGCCCACCACTCGTGGCCGTCGACCGACAGGAGCATCTCTTGAGTCCGGTACTAAGACTAGCTCCCTTGAAAGTCGACCAATAGCAACTTCAGAGACCAGCCCCGAGACGTCATCTCGTAAGAGGCCAGTCTCTATTATCTCAACGGCGAGTCAATCCGCAACCTACCTTCCTATGCCTGACTCGGAACCTCCGGTGTTTACCAAGAAGTCGGCCACCAGTCTTCAAAAAGCAACCAAACTTGAGCCCCTTCAACTTCCTCCACTTCATCAGCTTCCTCTACTTCCTCCACTTCATCAGCCTCCTCTACTTCCTCCACTTCATCAGCCTCCTCTACTTCCTCGACGTGATACCTCCGTGTTTGCCCATGATGACGGGAAAAAATACAGACGCTTTGGCTTCCTCTGCATCCATAGACGCGGAAGCAGCGACGGCCGTAGATCGGGCAAGAACAAATTCTTTGAGCTTCAAATGGCGCCGTTCCAACACCGACTAAGCACCAACCTCGCCCATGACGGTGGAGTACGACGAGGGGGATGAAGTCGGCCCTGGTGGATGAGAGATGCTCAGACCCCAGGGGCCCAGGGCCACACTACACTGCAATGCACCGAGACATGGTGGAGGGTTCTTGGACGAGAAGAGAAAACAAGGCTTTCAGGCCTCATTTGCTACATTGTATTGTGCGTTGCGCTTTGGTCAAGCCCGAGGTGAGGTGGCCAAGACAGGATGATCCTTGGGCGCCATGCAGCCATGCTCTGCGACGCAAACAGGCGTTGAAGGAGAAGCTTGCCAGCCTGGGATGGGGACGCCTCCAGATTGCAACGAAGGCTAACTCTCAGTCTCACGCCTCAGGCCTGCTCAGGTCACTGAGTGACTGGGCTGTCTGCCTATCACGGACGGCGACATGATAACGCTGAGTGCCGGCAACAGGAGGGTAGTCGGTTCAGATCTTAATGTCGGTCTCTTCCCAGAGGACGCCACTGGTGACGAAGGGGGGGGGGGGTCACCAAGAAAATGGCAGATAGCGTGAGCGAGTTGGGGGCATATCAGACGATTGCGGTGGTGAAGCTAGTCTTAGCCCGGTCTCCGTCTGCCGGCGGGGGATCCAGGTCGCCCAATATCCCAACAAAGATTCTAGACTGCCCTCTCGACGCCCAGCTAAACTCGGATTGGAGGCGGAGCCTTCGGATGATTCGTCGTTGCAGTGTCATCCGTTGGAGGGCCGTGCTGGAGTGACAGCGCGCTGACGGCATGGTGCGGTGACAGTGGCAGCGCCGCTCATCATCCCCGCGGCCGTCGATTGGCCGGCCCCTGGGGCGGGACACAACACGAGCAAGTCGTACCCCAGCTAATGGCAGCGGGCGGCTACCGGTGGTAATGGTGATGTTCAGTGAGAGTTGATAATTTTGAATGAGATGCATAAATTATATTATGTTGTCGGTACCTTATATCCAACCCCGGATCCTGATTCATATGGCTGAATGGGGTAAACTTGGCCCGAGCTTCACTTTGGATGTGGGCAAGCACGGTTAAGACTACCGCCAAAGAGGCTTACTGCCCCTAAAGACACTAGGCAGGGATTATTATTGCTGTATTCTCTAGCCCGTATTTATATCCATGCTAGTGGTTAACCAGGTCTGCCTTGATGTGGATTCTCCGTCGCTCGCTCTGTTACATCTCATGTCGGAAAGTCCCGAATCTAGTGCAAAGGTCTATGGCTCGATCCCGAGTCACTATGTTACTCCGTCAGGGATATTGTTCCTTGCGGATCCTCGACGTACGGATCCCTGGCGTGACATAATACCTGAAAATTTCGCACGTCTGACAGAATGACACTAGAATAACCTCAAGTTATAGAAGCATAGTCCCTGTGTCTTATCAAAAGCCATTTGTACCTGGTAGATAATATCCTAGAAATTGTCTCCCACTGCCCCTAAGATTAGCATCGCTAACTTTGCAAAATGGCCATCAAAAGGCAGTGTTAAGGAAGATGAGATAATTGAAGCTATGGCTATTTCGAGTCTGAATAAACCGAAATGGGTTGCCCTCTTTGTCACACTCTCAGAGTCTCTGCGCACGGACCCTTTGGGTCTTTTTGTGGCTTACACAGTCCCAGTCATTGCGCAATTACTCTGTACAAGCAGCCAATTTTAGACTTCAAGAAGTATGTCCTCTTATGGAGAAGTCAATAAGCGCTGCTAATTCAATACTCCTAGTTGTAACACATCTTCGGATCTTTGATATCTGAGTTATGAATCGAGGATTGAAATAGGATTTGCTTTGGAAACCTCGTCCAGCAAACTCTGTGCCAAGAGGGTCGCCGCTGAACTCGAGTATTCGAGCCACCAAAGCTGGCTAGGCGGGTGTGCCGCGAGTCCCGAATCGAGACAAGTGCGAAGGCGACCACGTAGGTGACTCTACCTTCTCCATGCGCCCTCGTGCACACGCCGGAGATATCACATTCAAGGGATTGACTGTCATCATCGTAGAAATATCCCAGCAAAGACAATGATTGTCAGTTCCCCCTGCTACTTGCATGCGATGAAAAGGCTACTACAATGGAATAGCACGATTTTTATGGGCAAGTGTGCCTTAGCATTATATTGACACAATCTGCCCTCAATCGGGATATACATACATGCTGTTATTCAAAACAATGACGTTTGTGACAGCAGCGGTTTGCCCTTTAGACTTGAGCGACTCAAACATTGGCAAAGTGGAGCTTTCCAGAGAACCCAGACGAGGACTGTATTTTTGCTGCATAGAGCGGTTACAGTGACAATCCTGGCCCCAGGCAGCCCGATGGTTGGGAACGAGTTGTCAACGCCCGAGCCAAGATGCTGAACCAATCCTCAATATTCAGCTAATTTCCGTGGTAGGCGCTTGCTTCGGAAAGTGCCGTTACAAACCAATATGAGTGACAGCCTGCTGACCAATCGTGCATATGGAAAGTTCCGTGCACCCCGGCTCATGCTTGGGGCTCAGGGGGTTCAAATGCCAAATCCAAGTACTCTAGCCTAGCTGAAGCAGTTTTGTGCACACTGTGCGAGACCCAACGCCTCCAGCCAGGTCTGCAGCCTCGCGGTTCGCTTTCTCCTTGGTCGGGGAGGCACATCTTCGATTCTCGGCGGCATAGTCCAAGTGTCCGTGCTCTACTGTACAAGTATTCTTTTGGTTGTTCTGGCTGAGCAACCCATGTGGGGTATTCAAAATGAGGCGCGGACTGGGGCGTCTTCCCGCAAAACAACCTCCCGCAGGACAACCAACCTAATGCCCTCGGGGACGCGGCTCAGGGCCGGTCGCAAACTCAACCGGTCCCCCCTTGTATTTCGACAAAATTCATGTAAACGGGCCCGTGCGTACCGGGCTGGTTTGATCCACCCTCTTGCAAAGATCCGACCATAGACCCAGTAAAACGCTCGCAGCGTGCTTGCAAGAGATAAAGAGGCACGCGACGTGTTGCTTCCATGAGTCATACCAGCTTTCCAGGGCCACTTCGCGACGAAAACGTGATCGCCGGCGCGCATGTGTCCAGCGGGGAGACGATCAACTTCAATTTTGGCGGCCATGCCCCGCCGCCATCTATCCGACCCTTCTCGACCGTCCCTTTCCCGCCGAATCCGAAGTTCGTTGAGCGGACTGATATCTTACTCTGGTTGCGTGATCAAACCGCGCAACTGGGCAACTGGGCAGCCGCAAATCAGAGGTCGCGATCCATTACACGCACGAAGTCCGACAGGCGTCACCAGATACCTGGGTTTTCTGGGTGCATGCGAGCTCCAGGGCCCGTTTCGAGGAGGCATACCGAAACATCCCCCGATACGCTGCAGCTTTCGGGACGAGATGATCCGAAGCGCAACGTGCTCTGGCTGGTGCATGCCTGGCTGTGTGACGAAGAGAATGGACCATGGATGATGGTGCTCGATAACGCCGATTCCGTTGAGGTGTTCTTTCCGAGACGGGGCGCGCATGACTCACGCGACCAGCCGCTGGCATCATTCCTACCAAAGAGCGGCCGCGGATCGATCGTCATCACATCTCGCAACACAGATGCGGCGGAGAGGCTGGTCGGCCTGGATGCTATCTACGAGGTATCGATGATAGAGAAAGGCCAAGCCCTGCAGCTTCTCCGGAACAGGCTCGTGGAGGAGTGCGCCGAGGATGATGTGGTAATGACAGATCTAGTCGATGATCTAAACTACAAGCCACTTGCAATAATCCAGGCTGTCGCTTACATCAAGCGAAGAAGATCGTGCATGTTGGTATCGGCTTATCTAGACGAGATCCGGAGGAGCGATAAGAAGAAGGCAAGCTCAAGCCTCACACAAGTCAGCAATACCTCCGAAAAGTCGGAAGCAACTGTTGTTGAAGAGAGCATCGACCTCGAAGCGGCGCTTCCTGAAAAGAGGCAAAGTAAATGTATGCGAGGTCTCCGGCATTGCATCCTTATTGTGTATCGCCGCTTATTTACTCTGGTTGGTATCTTCAATATCGCAGCTGCTCTCGCAGTCATTCTCTCTGGTATCCAAATAAAATGGCTGGGTACAGTTACAGCTATCAACCTCGCCCTTGCCGTTCTTATTCGACAGGACTTCGTTATTAATGCCCTATACACGATAACGTGTAGTGTGCCAAAGTCTTGGCCACTTGCCATCAGATCTCGGTGTGCTAAGATTTATCACCTCGGTGGCATTCACTCTGGCGCCGCAATCAGCGCTGGCGCCTCGCTTCTCGCTTCTAATGTCGGCGAAGTTGTATGCATGACCTCAACATGCTCGAACTGGGGCCGTCAGTCGCTGGCCGCAAGGATCATCTCTTGGATACTGTCGGTTCTCTTCTTCATCATGTTCGTGATGGCACATCCATCAATCCGAAAGGCCCATCATGATTTGTTCGAGAAAACGCATCGCTTTGTCGGCTGGACGATGCTTGGACTCTTTTGGGCTCAAGTGGTTCTCACCTGCAACGACGCCAAGGGCGCAAGCACATCATTGGGCAGCGCTTGCGTACGATCGGCCTCATTCTGGCTCCTCGCCATTGCCACTGCCAGCATAACCCTGTCCTGGGCTTTCCTTCGAAAGGTGCCTGTTCAAGTAGAAGTCCTTTCTGACCATACTGTCAGACTTCATTTTAACTGCACGGTCCCAGTTAATGGATCATTCACTCGTTTGTCCAAGCGTCCTCTGCTCGAGTGGCATTCCTTTGCCACCATCCCAGCTCCAGAGCCTGCAAATGGCCGCCCGAAGGGCTACTCCCTTCTCGTTTCGAACGCAGGTGACTGGACAAAGGCAACGATAAAAGAGGCACCGACTCATATTTGGACCCGCGGAGTTCCCACTTGCGGCGTTATGCGTATCGCTAATCTCTTCAACCGCGTCGTCCTGATCGCAACTGGATCTGGTATCGGACCCGTGTTGGGCCACATTCAAAGTCCTCCTTGCCCAACACAGCTGATTTGGTCAACATCTCGACCAGAGCAAACGTTTGGAGAGGATCTGTGCAATGTTATCAAGGCCCAGATCCCCGACGCAGTTATCTATGACGTCAAGAGATTTGGTCGCCCAGATCTGGTCAAGATGGGGTACAACCTTGTGAAAAGTTTCAAGGCGGAGGCTGTGATTATTATTGCAAACGAGAATATTACCAAGAAGGTTGTTTATGGTCTTGAGACTCGGGGTGTGCCTGCATATGGTGCGATTTGGGACAGTTGAGGCGGAAATCCCTAAGGCTTGCGAGAATCTTAGGAGATCCACTAGCTGCTTTACGCTCGTCGTACGCCTGGTTCCAAAGTCGCTCTTGGAGGCTCAGCGACGAGGTTTCCGGGCCGGCAGAGGGGGTCGGAGAAGGTGTTGGCGGAGGTACCGCACCATCTTGAGGGCTTGTGGGTGTACTGTGATCGCATTCTGGACCTCTTCGGAGATGGAGAAGGCACGCCGAGAAGTCTGTACAACAGACAGGCCTTCGAAGAGTGGTAGAACGATTACTGTGAGGAACAGAAGGAGTTCCAGCTCGGTAACGAAGGCGAGAAGGATACGGATGATTGGCGGGCGGTGAGATCGCCTTATGAGATATAGAAGTCTTAATTTGCCCTAGGCGTGTGTCCTGAAAAACAGAAACATTGTGTCCCGCCGTCGGGCGATCTTTTGGATGGTATCTCACGCTGTCCTACACATAGCTTTGCTGACTTTTAAATATCTGCCTCGTTTCTGCTGCTAGATCTGTCGACCTCTGAGTTGAGAACGGAGGGAGGCGGGCCTCATGAAAGGTATAGGCGGGACAGGTACTTGATTGCGCAGCTACCGTTGAAGCTACGATTTAGTCTATTCACTGGGTGACAACCTCGACTCACCTGGTGGAAAAAGATATCATCAGACTGGTAGCTTGTTCAGCGGGAAAGTTATTGAAATTTGGGTTCGGATCGTCCGCCCGCATTCTCTATGGCGAGAAGCACGAGGTTGATCCCGCTACGCCCTTCGACTCCTTTGAAATGATCAGCAAGGCCAAGTCGTCTTCTGGGTCATGTCACGGTTCCGAGGCCGGTATCATGACCGGATCGATCAACGAGACGGACGCCATTGGAGACAAGGCCTTCTACTGGGGTGACATGTCTGATGGCTTCGATACCACCATTTTTCATGACGCTGAATCAAGCATCAAGTATCTTGTTTTCACCAATACCTGGCCAAAGTCTGTTAAAGATCGACAATCCTCGATCAACTCGAACGGTAACCTTGAGGCAGGAAATACCATTCCCGCTACCCGTTGAGCGTGGTTATGAGTTAGGGAGGTAGGGTCATTTAGGCCTTCTGGGACGGATCTTGACGCTTTTATGTATTAATGCAGCTAAACTGATGAATCGATACACACTTCTCTCGCCGTTTCTGATTCCATCCGTAATTCCGTAAAGTATGTAACTCGTGATGCTCTTGAGTTGTCTAAACGGTCTTATTCTTTGACGCGGCACGCAGCCCTACCTTTGCTTCCCAAGACGCCGCTATCTCTGTAACTGTAGCCAATGCGGTGCCTGGCTTGTGGCAATGATTGTGATGCGAAGTACTCGTGACGGTATACTATGAGTCTCTTCTCTTAGAAAATTCGTCCTACATTTGCTACGGAGCAAGGCTCTATCTGTGTGATTTGCTGGTCACCCCGCAGAAGCGACGATTCCTACCTGGCTTTGCACGTATCTGTCGGGTTCTGTGAGTTTCCATGCAAGCCTGTGACGACAAATAAAGTGCGAAATGACCAAGGCACAATGCCATCAAAACTGGCCAAAGATCAATAAATTCAGTATAACTTGCTTACTCTATCCAGTGTGTTGGGACAGCTGGACATACTGCTCAGCCCCTCTCTGAGAGCTAAGGCAAGCAATCAAAACTTAGAACCTATTTGCCCCTTCCAAGTCCGGAAATCCCTTTCAGCTTCAACACAATCTTACTACATACTCGGCTTATACGCATAATTTACCCTCATTTTCAAGCAGAGCTCTTTTGGTGTTAGGCATTTGTTACAGGCAATCGTGTTGCTAGTGCCTGTGGTATTAACAAACAGGTCGAGGTCGTTATCGCGCAAGATGTTTTGGACAACCACGTTAGCTGAGGCTACAGCTTTGGTGCGAAGACGACTGCATGAGAGGGAAAGATCAGGATTAATGCATGAATCGTCGATAATAGCCAGGCCTGCAGCGAGGCCGCCATTGGTCTGTCGCTCGATGAGGTTGTCCCAGACCTCAGCATTGATGGCGCCGTCGAGGATGATTCCATAGGTGCCAAAGGCAACATCTGTCGGCAGCTGTCGACAGCTAGGATTCGTCGCGCTGATATGGTTATGTGAGACCATGACGCCAGCGACGCTAGGATCGACAAAGACGCCGATGCAGCTGTCGCTGACATCATTATATTGCACGTTTGCGCCCGGGGTCTGGACACAGAGTGCGACGTTGTACTCCGAAATGTGGTTGTTTGAGGCCTGGACACCGGCCATGTCGTCCATGCAGATGCCGATGAACCCCAGCTTCGTCGATGAGACCACGGTGTTGTCGACGACTTGGGTGTTGGTCGAGCCAGCCGTGAGGAACCCGTACAGTTGGCCGTTGGTGAGCCTGTTTCCCGTCACCCGAGCGTTCTGGGCACCGACCACGGCTATGTTCGCGCCGGAGAAGTTGCTGACTTGGAAGCCGGTAATTAACACGTCCTGTACCGGCTCTCCTACTGAGAGGACCTTCCGGTGTTCGACCAGGAACGGGGCCAAGTCAATCTCAGACCCCATTACGCAGATGCCCGCCTCCGTACCGGGGCCGGTCAGGTTAGAACAGTGATTTGTAACAGCAGTGGTAGGGGGAACGAGGATGGCGCCCAACCCGACCAGGGCAATGCCGTCTTTCTCGATTGTCAGCTGCTCGGCGTAGGTGCCGGCTTCAACGAGGATTCGATCCCCCCGAGAAGCCGCGTTAATCGCGTCCTGAATGAGCTGGCCAGGCTGGACGTGTATGGTGCGGCAGTCCTTGTCATCATGGCATTCCTTACTGGCTTCATGGTCCTTGCCCTTGTGTTCCTTGTCCTTGTCCAGTTGTTGGCAACGCCAATTTTCCATCCCAACACACCCATTATCCTTCATCCATAGATGACGGTAACGCCCATTTTCCCACTTGCATTGGCAATCGTCCCGAACTGAAGATGTTAGCAGTTTATGCATTTGATTTTGAGAAAGCAGACAGACCTTGGAGGCCGGCAGCATCATCAGGGTTTTGAAGGGGGGAAGCAGTCACAAGGCCAAGGAAAACGCTCCCAGCAACTCCAAAGTTTAGCTTCATGGTAGCTAAATTTTATAAGTAGACGAGTGATGAGTGGTTGCGTGCAAGCCTATCAACTCTTAAGAGGGAGAAGGCGGGAGACAAATGTGGTAAATAATTAGACTTAAGACGAGAAGAAGATGATTATATATATCCATAAGAAAAGTATCCAATTCTCTCCTTGATTACTGCTGACTAGCCATTGGTAACCAATAACGATTTTCGGCAGGTCTCTAATTTGAGCGAATATACGTAACCATGACTTCACCCCCCTCTTCCAAATCAGCCATCTCGTCGTCTGTACTGCCCAGTAATGAACAGTCGAGAAGGGGTGTAGACTTTGCAGATACAAAAATATCGTAACCTGCAGATAGACTCGCTTATTATCATGTAAATATTTCCGGCTTCCTCCAATCATTATAGAGCCAATCTCTTTATTCTTCTGAATTTGTGGGTTACACAGATGAAACTAGCCCATAAAGACACAGGGAGGTAAGCGTCACGGAAACGTCAGCGAGCGTTAATCATGCATTTTCCATGATGGTATTATGTAACAGTGTTACGATATAAGGTTCGATTCAGGTCGGCTGGTAGGGGCCACACTGCATGCTGACGTCCAATATCCAACTCTTGAGCGCTGAATTCTTGTCTTTGGCGTCGGAGGCGGCTTGCCTGGCTGAAGAGCAATGTCATGACTTGAATATTCCCTCGTAGTGCTATTCTTAGTGATAATAGCCATCGCCTGGGCAGCGATGTCCCCTACGAGCAGCAGCGGTCTTCCAGATCGGGGACGGTCAATAACGTACGCCTCAAGCACTAGCTGCCCTTCTACCCATCCTTTCTCCCTGGCCTTTCGGAATAGGCAGGTCAATTGACTTGGTAAGATGCCTGTAATCTTGAAGATCTCATCCCTAGTGTATCCCTCGCCCTTCAGGGCTAGGGCTGAGGTACGGGTGCAATTGTTGTGGCTCTTAGTCTTTGGTATCGTTAGTGGGGCCTTGCTGCAGGTCTTGGATTGTGTCTTGGGTCTCACTTGTATGATAGAAGGGAACCAGGAAACTCGCCCACGGGGGACGTAAAACTCCCCCAAAAATCAGGGGAAAAGTCCCCCAATGACAATAATGATGAGAAAAAGCAATATACAAAAGAGATGAATGAGGTTGTATTAGTGGCTTAAGTCGTGTTGAAAGCGCGATGCTCATACTATTGCACTGTGGCGTTTAGAGAACGCCATCAAAATAATCTAGCATCTAAGTCGGCTACAATGAGCCCGACGGCATTGTCATTGATTAAAGGGGCCGTGTCTCGCTATGAGTTTGCTTTTTTATCTTAAAAGCCGCCTCTTTAATTTTTCTTACCTACTTACTTATAGCCAATACTCTACAGAGAGATATAGCTTATAAGCCGGGGATATAATATACTAAGGCATATTAGTCTGCTCTAGAAGTACTTATTATAAGGTAGTTGCATCTAGAAGTATTATTCTACTTAGAAGTACTGCTCTATCTAGAGTAATAATTTACTCTAAGGCCTACTCTACTTAGAAGCAGTATTTTATTTATTTTAATAGGCTTTTTATATAAAGATTAATAATAAAAGTTATATTTATTTTATTACTTTATTAATATACTAAATAAGCTTAGTAGCTCTCTCTTTCTTCTACTATCTTATTTATTATCTCTATTCCATCTCATTATTTACTCTTCTATTTCTTATCTACTATTAATATTAAAGATTGCATTGTGACAGGCGGTTAGGGACACTTAGGCTAGCTGGTCGCTAGCAGGGATATCTCTAGAGTGACCCAGATAGAATTAAAAGAGGAGGTCAGTGCCGTCACTGGGAAAAATCATCGTTTTTCTTTTCATCAGAGATTCTTCCCAGAAGTCAGAGAGGCCGGAAGGACTCGAGGCTGCTAGGGAGTCTATTAATTAATTGCCTTCATTTTTAAGAGATTTATTTAAGCATTCTTGCTGTCACTACGTTCCTTGTCCAACTTCCGTCTTCGACATCCCTCAGATATCGGGCTGCCGCAGGCCCTATTGATGCCTTGCCAGCGAACTTTCCTGCGACCGACCCGATATTCTATCTCATAAGATGCTTCTCTATCAGGAGATATAAGCCTCAGGTTAATCCGACCTCATATGCGTAATCTGGTGCAGCTTCGGGCTGACCGGCTAAGATGCCTGTGTGACGACTCTTTGTGTATTTCCCCTAGGGTAGGTTAATAAGTTGGGTGTTGTTTTCCGTCCCTTCCTGCTGCTAAAGTATAATTAATACTAATCTAGAGGTTAATTATCTTTATTTATCTACTATTTTCTCTTATTATAATATACTTTTAAATGAGTTTTTTTAGTATTTTCTTATATATTTTTTTATCTTATTATAATTTACTAAATAGCTATTTTAAAGCTTAGGGGATATAAAGAGTAAATTATAAATAGAAGAATATAGAGCTAAGTAGAATCTTCTATATATAGTTAAGCTTACTAAACTATTAGTACTATAAAAGTCTATATATCTTTTAATTAAAGTATTCTATCTATTTCTTTTATATAGTAAATAAATTCTTATATTATTTTCTATATTGCCTCCGGGCCTTTTTATCTTTATATCTCTATCTCTATACTTTTTATCTTAAAGAGTAAAGAATAAGAGTCCTCTAATATTAATTAAGCTATTCCCTCCCCTCTAACTTCTTTTAAGACCTTGAATTATACCCGCATTAAATAGCTAAGTAATAAAGTTAGCTAAAAGTACCTTATTAGCTATAATTAGTATATTCTTAAAAGATTTATTTATATAGCCTAACTTCTATAAGATTTTAGGAATTAGTAGGGCTATACTAAAAATAGCTTAATATAGGTTTTTAATTAAGATTGTAGATATTTTAAATTTATTAATTATTAAGTATAATTAATATTAAAAATTAAGTTAATTATAATTTTTAATAATTTAAAATATTATTAAAAGAAATAAATATTAAATTAAATTATTTTATAATTTAATAATTAACTTAATATATATAATAAGTAAATTAAAAATATAAATAAATTTAAAAAAAATCTTAATTTTTATTTATTTAAT